TACTTACAGAACTGGAGGTGAGTGAACGCAAGTTTGTCCAGATTGCCTGGCAGTAAATTCAGCTCTTGGCTTAAAGAAAGCAATCCTTCTTTGCAGGAGATGTTAAAGTTAGTTGAATAGTTCAAGATAAATGTATTGTCTATATTTAGTTGGGAGAGAGATTCACAATGCGTCTCTCATAAAAATCACAATACAAACCACAAAGGGGGGTTGCCATAATGCCTGTAACTCCCTAAGGAAGAGTCCGCTTTCCTACTTTTCTTAATCTAGGTAGCTTTCTATCAACAGCCCTCTCTTTCTTGTTTTTAGGAACAGGCCTCAGACTATCATAAAAGCAAGTATAGTCCAATGGTAAGCTTCCTTCTGCACAGTCAATAAATAGGCGACACAAAAAATCAAACACAGGTTCAGATCTTCTAACTGTTTTGTAGTAATTGTGTATCCCATGAAGTGTGTCTATTCAGGCAAACTGGTAAGCCATGGTTTAGATATCATTAGCAAGTCCCAATCCTGGTTTAGCAGCAAACCACAGTCTACAAACCCTTCTAGCCAAAACCAAAAACTAGAGTTTGTGCAAACCAAAGTTTGTCCACAAACCAGGCTCAAATAACAGTCTGCAATCCTGGTTTGCCACTAACTCAGAATCATAAGTTTCTACTTATCATGCACAGGGCACAGGTAAGGGAAGGAAGGAGTATACAATGGAACTCCCTCCCCCTGGAGGCACAGAGCGTGCCTACAAATTCTACCATGAGGGGTGGGGTGGGGACAAGCTTACCTAGCTTGTGCATAAATCAGGCACTAACTAATTTTGTTTACTTGGTGCAAATCCCAAACAAAAACTAATTTTGATTAGCCCAGACTTTTTTTGCTTGACCAAAACTTCCAGATTCCTGTACTGTGAGCATTTCATCAAAGAAGACAAGAAATTATTGACTTTAGTTCAGAAGGGTGCCTAGAGGTCACAGGCCATGAATATCCAATATAACTAAAGGGATATAAATAAAGGAATATAAAGTAAAGGGATATAAATACATCCTTCTGGAGCATAGTCACACTTTTCCAGTATTGAAGGTCAAGCCAGAAAGGCACTAAAAGAGTTAAAAGCCCAAATGTTTGCTAACAAATTAATCTACTCCCAAAGGTGGGGAGCTATGCTATTGCAGGAAACCCCCGTGAATTTTAAATTATTTTAATGTTAAACAACTGCTTTCTGTAGCACGAGGAGCAACCAAAGCAGTGTACAATAAAAAAAGTGTTAGGAAAAACACATCTCAGCAATAAAAAACACTTGAACAACATACATTAAAACATTAAAACTTGTCAGCCAGCGCGGGAGACAGTTGTTTCGCCAAATAAAAGGGCTTTTTTTTTATTCAATGGCAATCACAACACAAATGGAAGGAGGTTTAGTGCTTATATTAAATAGTATAGAAAACAGTACAGCATTTAAGCAAAATCACACAGCATGAGGAAGATAGTAAGAACAAGATAATGTACCTCCCTGTTCTGTTATTGGGAGCGTCGGGAATCAACGGAAAGATTCCAGCTGGCCAGTACAGTCAGGACCCACACTGAAGCTCAGGGGTCAGGCCCCATGTGAGAGATGCATACACTCCAGCCCCCTGCTGGCCTCTTGCTGGCTGACCTATTATGTCAATCCCTCCCACCTGGTAAGCTAGGTCAATCTACTGAGGCAGCATAATTAATTAGGAGTCCTGCAGCTGCACTGCTGCCTACAGGCACTCAGCCTACAGCTGGCCCACAAATGAATCTTCCACCAACCTGCTGCTCCATATCCCTGGAGCCCACACAGTAAATAAAACCAAAAAACCGTGCCAAGGTACCAATAAGGGAGGAAGAATCATTCAAACCAGTATCTATTTCCTCAGGATACAAAAGTCTTCTTGCATAGGTTTTATCTGCAACAGTGAACCAAGTTCCAGATGAGCCCTGGCCAGATTTAATCTCTCTGTCTCACATCCACAATAGCCTACAAAGAGCCAACCTAGTACTACTAGGAGCAGAGTTAACAAGCGGTCATGACTCTGCTATCCATAAATTCACGAGCCAATCCCTCACAAATTGCAAGACTGGAAAGCATTGAATTTGGCCTTCTTATCCGTTTGAAATTGCAGAACTTTTAATAGCTGCAGATATCAAACTTTCATGTTTTAGTCTTTGACAAGCCAACATTTCTCACAGCAGCTTGACTCCTAACCAGCCCTTTGTACTGCAGAGCCAAGCCAAGGTTAGTGAGGAATAGAGAGAGCTTAAGCATGAACCTGTATTAGGATGGCACACTAAGACTGGCTTAGCTCAGGGCAGTGAGGCAATAAAAAAGACAAGGGAGGGGCAAAATGGCCATGAATTCCTCTCTAGGTAAGCCATAGTTTGGGCTTACCATGAAATACAAACCAGGCTACATATATCTTGCTACATATTAGAGTTTAGGTTTCCAAGTTTCATATTCTGAAGTCATCAATCCCCAATCACAAATTGCTTGGGGATGCAATTAGTCATCTTACACTCTGTTCTCTACAAACACATTGTTCATGTCACTACTGCTTCTCTTCTGCTCCCCAGCAGAGCAACACAATTCTTCATATCTATTTTTATTTAGTCTCTGATTTAATACCTCTCCTTTCTATAGTGGCCTATACTGAAGGCAGCTGACTATGATAAAAATAATACAGTAAAAATAAAGCAAAACAAATCAGAAGCAGTAGCAGGATAGAAGACTTCAAAATGTACGCTGAAACAAAACAGGATTGTGGCTTATATATGGCTCATTCAAATGCACACCCCTAGCACTTAGGGTGGGAACATACCTTGCTATAACACCATCTGCTTTTGCCCAAACATAGACATGCCACTAATATTTTATGTGATGGTGCAAGTCTCTTTGTAATACCAATACAGGATGACATGCGTGTTCAATGTCCCACTTATAAACCTCAAATCAGCAGGATGAGATTCCTTCAATGAAGGAAGGTAAGTGTTCTCGTGGTAAAGGCTTGACATCAAACACACACACACAGGGCTCTGCAAGAAACAGGTTTGATGGGCTCCTACCCAATTTGCAATTTCAAAACAGATGCAACAGGGAAAGCAGAGGGAGCAAAGTGGGGAGGCAGGGGTAGAATATGCAATTATTTCAGTTAATCATACGTGAACTTACATTACAGTAGGATATTTGGACTAGGGGGCCATTCCCAAGGTTTCACAGAGAAACCTCCCTCTAGCAGGGAAGTTTAATATATTTACTATCAAAGGCTTATAAACATGCTGTTCTGCTGTGCTGCTCTTGCACACAGGATTGAGGAATTCACAATCAAAGGGCATGTGGAGGTTAACCGCTCTCTCGACCTCTAATAAAATGTGTCGTGAGCTCCAGCACAGAGCGCAAGTCACCATAATTCTTTCTTCGGAGCTGTTCCATTTGGAAGCAGTTACTTGGAGAGGACCAGGGCCAGAGGGGAAAAAACTGGAGTCAGTAAACCGTTAAGGCACTTGGCATATCCATGAGCTATGAAGCTCAGTAGGTGTTTTAAGCTGAATAATTTTCTCATACAGTACTCCTAAGGCTTAATGCACATGTTTTAAGCACTCATGGCTTTGCCACTTCATTTATGGCTAAAATACATGTGATGTGAAAGATCCGTGATTGGGATCTTTCACTTTAATAATAATGAAAGGTTAAACAGGCACCACAAGGAAAGACCAGGATCCCCTGCAACATTTCCCCAGTTTGAAGCGGCCCCTAAGCTGTTTGCACAAGCAAAAGTAAAAACTAAAAGTATCCATATGGGTAACTGTTTGTTCTGTTCCATGTTTCATACTGTGCGGGGTTTGAGGCAATTTCAAAGTGTGCCTACCTTTGGCCACCCATAATTGTCATCCCTCTGAGCAAAGAAGTCAACCTTGTCTCTCAAAAAACATGTAATGCACAGTGCCCAATATTTCTTCATGCTACATACCCAAATCTGTGAGGTGCAAGTCATTGGCCAAGGTGTTGAATACCTTATTCATGTCACATCTGATGAGGTCACCGTCAATGCTGAGCTTTTCTTTGAAGACGTTGACAGGCAATTCATGTACTTCCACTTTCAAGAGCCTCCAAGTTGCAAACGTCCTTGTTTTCTCCTGCTCCAGAGGGTATGATCTGAACCAATGGCTTCAAGATACAAGGAGATTCTGACTAAACATCAGGAAGAGCTTTATGATGGTAAGAACTGTTTTGACAGTAGAACCTTGGAAGGTAGTGGGCCCTCCTTCCTTGGAGGTTTTTAAGAAGGTTGAATGGCCATCTGTCACGGACGCTTTAATCGAGATTCCTGCATTGCTGAGGGTTGCAGTTAGATGATTCTATGAAAGTGGACTATGATTTGTATCTAGGGACTCATTCCTAGCTACTTCAAGAATCTCAATACTGACTCAGCCTCAGGTCACTTTGAAACTCAGGAAACACACTTGATCTATGCCTGGGGATTGTCTCAACTAACCATTTCATTCTTTGTAACCATTTTGGCAATTCAAGCCGCATGGCTATTTTATTCTCTGATGTGATGTTGGTGCTGTGTTATACACACATTTATTTGGAGTTTGAATGGAGACAGATCTTCTGCTAATTGAAGTGCAATGCAACATCCCAGTAGGACATCTCCATGTTTATATACATGCTATCATGTAACCTATGAACATATATAGGGTAAGTTGCAGGTGGAAGGGTAGTTCTGCATTGCTGCAATCTGTTAGAAGCAGATATTGAGGATCTTTTGATCCAAAGGCAAGGTATAAATCTTGATTTAAGATAGTTTTTCATGTTCACTGCATTCATAGAGAAGGGTAGAGTAAAAACAACACACTTTTGTCTAAACCACAGCACCATCTTGTGGAAATAATTATACTATACTGCAAATCTAAATCCATAAACTGCCGAACAGAAGCCCCAAATGGGACATTTTCTTCTGAAAGCACCACAGGTCAACTCAGTTATTAGTTGAACTCAGTTCATTGAGTAACACTAGTTTTTCACCTCAACCACTGAGGTTTGATATTTTCAGTTCCATTAACATTTCAGCACCCCAATGGATCAAACTGATCACAATCATCATAAAAGCACACACAGAAACTTCTTGTTTTAAGATTTTTTTTTACAGCTGAATTACAGAGCCTCGTCTCAGGGAGGCTGGATCTTGTAGAGAATTACAACATTTTTTATACTCTACTGCATCCCACGGAAAGGCCAGGCAGAATTACAATTAAAGTACAGGTTTCACATTGCATAAAACACAGTTTACACAACATCCGGGTGTACAAATGAGCAGTATTCAATAATTTATAGTTATTTACTTTCATAGTATTGGACTACATTTTAGCATCTTCATGCAAACCAACACATGCTTTGGCTCTTGAAAAGTTGGCATTATTCCTCAAAACCTTCCTCCTTGCTGCATTTTCTCTCTTAGTCAAAGGAAGTGTGCACAGTGCTTTGGGAAACAAACACTAACACATATTATCAGAAAGTGCTGATTACTGTTTAACATTTAATAAAGATACTAGGGTTTCCATTACATTTTTGCCAGCTAAAATAAAGGTCAGTAGGTCAAAAAATATAGACATTACGCATTTTAAGTTACACTCAACTTCACAAATTTCAATTCTGAAAGTGTCATTGCAATCCTTTGTAAAAATGTTTTTTCATTGCACACAAATTCAGTTTTATATCCCTGAAGATTTCCATGTACCGTGAAAATAGGAAGTGGGCCTAGTTCAAAACTGTTATACTCACTGGGTTACAAACATCTCTCCATAAACGTCTGAATTTGTGATTTAAGAATTTACTGTCTCTCCCCCCCCCACACACACACCTCAAAAAACAGCAGTGTTTTACAGTCATGTTCCTTTCCTCACACAATACATAATAGTGCAAGTCTATACTTGACAAAACAGCAGTATTTGAATTACCTGTGAAAGTAAACATTACCCTATGGCAAGGGATGCGATTAACAGGGAATCGTGTTCATGATGTTCAATCAACACAGCTGAAAGCTACTAGGAATGTTATTGAACACATTTCAAGATCCTTCTCCTGTGGCATATTACTTCTCCCTGGAAAATCTGCAAGTTCATAATGTTAGATATTCTCTGAATATGAAAAGCATATTATTTGCATACCAATGAGTATGGGGTCCTTTTTTGCCCAGAAATGGGCAAAACTATTCCATAACTAAAGTATGTGATATCCAAAAGAAAACAAGTTTTCTTTTCCAGTTTATCTATAGAGGTGTTGTGTTACTCAGAAAACTAGTTTTCACTATTTATGCTTCTAAAGAACTGATTATGCCTTCCCAACACTGGCCCATAAACCTTCTATATACATTATGTTTCAGAAAATATTAGGGTCATCTGGGAAAAGGGATATCCAACATAGTTTAAGGTGTTCCACACTGTTTAGTGAGTGTTGTTCAAAAAAATGCTTAACACTCCTTTGCCTGAACTCCAAGGAATATCAGAGCATGAAGCAATAGGCCCTGAAACTAAACATCTAGAGAGAATTATCTGAAGATGCCATCATCCAAACCCACTTCCCCTTTTGAAGGGAAGACTGTAATACTCAAAATTCTTTATTAAAGCAGATGCACTGAAAAAATGTAGGACTGTAACTCAAGAAGACTTCGAAATGTACAACCATGCTTTCCGTACAAGTTTCCCAGAAGCAGACAAATTGTTATATTTCCAATTTACTGATTGCAATGAAGTGATGGTAATTCGGCAGCTTCCAGAATTGCTCACTGCCAGAAACAGCTAGGTTGACATTTAAGAGTAGAGTTGTACTGGAGTTACAGCAGTCCACTTGCATAATCATCATCTTCCTCATTTCCACGGGAACCTCCTTCACCTGGTTCACCCACTTTGCCCTGTGGAGTAACTGGGGATTTCTTCTTCACACCTCCTCCTGGGACAGCCAATGAGAGGCCAAGCTTGGCATACTGGCAGAGGGCAAGAACAAGATGTTGAGCACACATGCCCTGTTTAACTTACTCTTCTGCAGTCAATATGAGTATTTTCATAAAGTAACAGAATGGTTAATTAGAAAATGCCAGCACCCCACTAATACTACTCTAAGGAAAGGTAACAGAATACAAAGCAGTGGACACATTCATCTGTGTCCCAGGGCACCGTGATTATTTCTCACTATTTTATCTCAAATTTTTAATCTACAAAGCCATTAACAATTGCAATAATAAAATCATAAGACATTAAGTCATTAAAAACACAAGCAATGTAAAGGAAAGCCCATCTCTGCAATTTGAAATCAGTATTTACAAACCTATGTTACAGCCAATCTTTTTCTAGAAGGAAAAGGCCCTCTGAAAAAAAAGTTGTATGACCAAGGTGACAAGATACTACCCACAGCCCATTCAGACTTTAGCTTTGGCAGTGACTTGAATACTCGTGTATCACAGGAAATGCCACATTTATGCATAGCATTGCAACTTACTATTTGTCAGTACAAAACACCCTGTGGATCAAAATAATCAGTTAATATATTCTTCTTAAGAAAATAAACTGAGACACCAACTTACATCATTGTCCATGTATTTAAAGAGTGGTGAATTGCAAACATCTGATACTTGGTCCTGGTCTTGCTGATCATACCCCTCTAGGAGCTGCTCCAATGCAGCACAGTCCTCACTTTCACTGAAGCCTGGTATGCTGAAGCAATTGCAGTATTATTTAAATTATTTCACTCAAAGCAAAGAAACTAAATTTCCATATAAGGTACAAACAAGAAAATGGAAGATGTGAGAATCAGGGCCTGAGAAGTACCTAAACAACCACTTCCTACAATATGACCCTGCCTAGATTCTGCATTCTTAATCAGAAGCCCTACCCTGGTTTCCCTCACCAACTGAAGTTAGATGGGAAGTGACCAAGACAACAGCCTTTTAGGGGGTGGCACCCTATCTTTGAGATGTTCTCCCTAAGGAGATTTGCTTAGTGCCAACTGTACCATTTGTAGACCCAGATATACCAGCATGCATTGACTGATTTTAACACTGCTTTTATCTGATCGTTCTGCGCAAGTTTTAATTATGATTAAACCACTGGGATTTTGGGAATTAGAGCATAGTGTCATCTGTATGGTGCACACAGCTTTATTTCTCCATTCCCATCTGAATCAAGAGAGGCTATGGAGGTACACTGAAGCCGAGAAGGCGTGGATGGCGGCTAATAAACTGAGGCTCAATTCTAGTAAGAAGGAAATGCTGTAGGTGGGCAGGTTCCCATATCTAAGAACTAGGTGTTCCACCTGTAATGGCAGGAGTTGATCTCAAGTAGTTCCTGTGGCTAGGAGTGCTTAGGCCTTTTGTAGGCTAGTTTGCTAGCTATAGCTGTTCCTGGAACAGAATAGCTTGGCCCCACTTAGACTAACGTAATGGGTTCTATGTAGGGATGCTCTTGAAGTGGGCCAGCTAATGCAGAATGAAGCTGCTAGATTAGTAAGTGGGGCAAGCCCAATGGAATCTTGTGTCACCTGGTTCTGAAAGCTCTGCTCTGGCTACCAGGCAGCTACCAGCCAAATTCAATGTGTTAGTACTATCATATAAAGTCTTTGGGACCCAAATGCCTAAGAGTACCAAATGAATGAATGAATGAGCAGCTTACTTTCTAAACCAACAAATGAGTTTTGTAGATGTAACAATTTGATATTAAGACAAGGAACAAATTTATTGTCACTCTTTTATAGGCAAGGAGCGTTTCTCAAAAAGAGGACGTGCCAACGAACCCTGCATTCAGCGCTTATGCCAGTAACAGAAATACAGAGCATAAGATGATGAAGAACACAACTATGCTTTTAAAAATTAAAAACAAATCAGGCAAACAGATGACTTACCTACAACTTTCCCTGACACATTTTTCTGCAGCAACATAGTCATTTCTGTGAAGATGAACTAAGACCTGAGCAATAGTTTTCTAAAAGGAAAAAAAAATGACTGATTCACTCTCTAATAACAAAGCAGTATTAATTTCTCAGTTTAATGGATTCAATAGAAAAAATATAAATGTCAGCATCTCAAAAAAGGAAAGAAAAAAAGAGGTACTTTGAAGAATTAAGGGTGATTTTTTTCTTTCAGAAAAATGACCAGGTTCTTGGCAACAGATGTTTGGCCTGCTATTTTCTGAGCAAAGTTTAGCATTAAATAACTCTCCATAACTGTTTCAATTATAGAAAGACATAAAATAAATACGCCTTTTGCTATTTAAGAGTACTTGGATCATTACAGATTATGTACTTTGGGCATTAGGCTACTTTGCCTCTTCTTCACCAAACTAAGGATGTAATTTTGAAGGTACTCCTCATACATTCATCAGCAAGCATTGAACACAATGATCACATCAGTACACGGAAGATGCTTGTAGCTTAAAATAAACAGGGTCCCGTGAAAGCTGAACCTGAAACCCTGCTAGCACCTAACAACAGACTCTGCTAGTCTCACACACAAGCGAATTAAATAACCAAGGCATGGCACAAAAGTTATGCAGGGTAAAATAAGACTTACTCCACCCAATCCATAGATATTCAGGATTTTCAAAGATGTCAGATTTTACAATTATAATACTACATAAAATATAGAGCAGGCCAATATTTTTTTAAAAATCAGCTTCCAAGTTTGATGGTTGTTGTTTTTTTAAAGTACTTTAAAACAAAAAACAAAAACATGAACCAATTTTAACATTTCCAACTGTTTTAAGACTAGAGATTAGTGTGTGTATGATTTCTAGTGAGGAATACATCTAACGCTGTTCAATTAGATGTGAGCTTACAAATTAGAGTAATTAAAAAAAAAAAAAGAGAGAGCATCTTTTCAGAAACAGATAAAGAGACCACCTGGCTTTATACCTTGTAACAAGTTGGATAGTTTTCAATATCTTTATAAAGACTCTTTTCCTTCTGAATAGATACTGCAGCCTCATCTAGTCTGAAAGACAATGAGAAGGATTGGTACATTTAAAGAAAGGAGCAGCAGGAATCAGGAGAGAAAATCACTCCTTAACTGTCCATTTTCCAAAAAGGCAGCTCAACACCCAAGCAAGACATGAGCTCATGTGCGGTTACAGTGAGCCCATACTGAACGTAAAGCTGAAGGAACCACTTCCTTACAAAACACATGCTGGAGTATAAGGAAATGGTGAAAAGCCTGGGCAGGTTTATACTACCTGCAATGCATTTGGATGACTGTGTCTAATACAGCCACATGAGCACTGGGATATGGAATGTATGGCTGACACCATTACAGATGTACAGGAAGAAATGATTATGATCTGTATGTTTTAGTGGTGCTAGCCCTAATTGAGTGCCAATGAGAATGACCTTTATCTCCCGAACCCAGACTAATTTTGCTGCTGGGGAGATGGGATTCAATGAGCATATACAGCTCTAAAGAAAAGGCAGTAGAATATTAGAATTGTAGAGTTGGAAGGGACCATGAGGGTCCTCTAGTCCAAACTCCTGCAATGCAGGAATCTTTCTGCCCAACATGGGACTCAAACCCTCAATCTTGAGATTAAGATTCTCACATTCTAGCAACTGAGCTAAATGAAACATTACTGAGATAGGGATAGCTTTGCCCATTTTCAATGTTTGTTGTATTTTTTTTAAAGAATGGTAAGTGGACACGAAAGGAATGAGTTTGTCTCCTTTGGCTTCAGTGACTTTGCAGTTACCAGCCAATAGATGCCCACAACATTTTAATTCTTAAATGAAATATGCGTTTCATTTGAAAGTCAGTTATAGTAGATGCCATTCTACAGGAAGAATCTATTTCCCAAGAAGATAATTTAAAAGTTTGCAAGCTAGGAAATTGTAATTCCCCCACCCCAACATGGATGAATGTCATCTAGATATCATGCAATAATTTAATGATCAACTGTGAATTTATGCAATAGCTTCATCAGCTGGCAGTGCCATGAGAATGGTTTCATTTTAAAAAAGGAATACAAAAGTTAGGATGCCCACCTACGACCTCTGACTAAAAGCCTTGAAGCTTTTCCATACATTTCAACTGCTTGTCGTAAACGTTCTTCATTCTAGATAAGAAACCAAAATCATATAAGAACATTAATGATTTGTCAGGTAAAATTCTCTCCAGTTTACTTGCCTTAATACACAGCTCTATCAGCTGGGTGACCCAAACCTCTCTGAGTAAGCTTAACTGGAACATGAAATTCCAGAAAAGTTGCAGCATTTAAAGGAATAAATGTAGGCCCTGCAAGGTAAACATTGCATTTTAAAAACTGTTTGTCGTGAGTTGAGAAGGTGAAGACAGATAGCTTGCCTGTTTACGTGCTTGCCAAGCTTGGCCCCAATTTTCTAGCCCCATTTAGGCTTTGTTATCTACTCTTATGGCGTATATACTATACAAAGCAAATGACATTTGCTGATGAAAGTAGTAAGACTCATGCAAAAAAAGAATTCAGCAGTGCTGTCAGAAAGACCAGAGACAAGAAGACATTTAATAAGCACATCTGAAGTTTCACTCTTTTGCAATAGGACTTGACTGCTGTTCACCTTTTAAATTTTATTCTCTGCCATTCTCAACACATTTCCTGGGGAACATACTATATTGGTTTCAGGCGACTTACTTCAAACACTGCTGCTGTCTGCTGATAAAGTTGTATAGCCTTGTCTGGATTTATATTTTCTATTACTCTGAAATAAAAAGTCAACATTATTATTTAGCTTGATGGCTTTTTTTTAAAAAAAAGCAAACTAGATAAATCAAACTTCTTTTCCAGAAAAGAAACCAATGCTTTGAGTTTGCAGACTTACTTCCCAGCCCGATCCAGGGCTATAGCTGCTGTGTCAGGTGTTCCATTCTCCAGGTACATCATGCTGGCTCTCTGAATCATTTCCACTGCATCATGATGTTGTTTCATCTCCTAAAGGAGAAAGAAAGAGATTCACGTTTGTCAGGAAAAACGGCAAATCAAGGTCTATCTAATACTTTCATTTAGTTTTATCACATCATTGCATATTTGAAACTATTAAAAGTTTTGTTAAACCCTTTGATAAAAATCAGTACAACAATCTTTAGTAGATGGAAACATTAAAAAGGCAAAGGAATTCCTGCAAGAATCGTACAGTTTGCAAAGAGTGAATGACTAGGGGCAACTGCAAACACCCATTTATACAATTTTATTTCAACACTTTATGATTTAAATCTAAATGTATGTATTTCACGAAGATGAACTGCATTTGAGGCAATATGAAAACTTCCTATGTTGTTGATCTGTGATGGTTCAAGCATTGGCTATGCGTGTGAGAATCACCTGGAAAAGGTTTATTTAATGGGTTAGCTAAATATCCTTCCCTCACTTTTATCCTAACCAAAAAGTGTAAATTTCTTCATGCTGAAAAGATACAGCTTTTAAATACAGATTAGCTGACTTTCAAGTCAACAAAGGTTGAAATTCCTTACCAGGAACCACCTTCCTATTAATATTACTATTAACATTACTTTGAAGTAAACAGGGCAATTAAGATGTTAGGAGTCCTTGAATTTAAGACAATTAAGTAGTACTGATTGAGATCACAAGTACTGGCTTCGCTGATAAATGGATCATACAAGCAGCACAATTGAAACCCAAGAGCCACCAGAATGAAATAGTTTGGATTTGGAAGACCTTGGGCTTGCTACCCTGGCTCAGTTGCACTGGTATAAGTACCGAAAAAGGAGAGCCAGGTGCAGGGAAAGAAACTATCTAAACTTATTCCAAACCCATTTCAGCTTGGTCATGTGACCTAGCAACCTGGCAAAATCTACTCAAAATCTCAAAAAAAAAAAACCCCCCACAAAAAAACCCAACGAGTTTATCAAACTACAGGATTAGCATTGCACAGGACAAACACCCAATAATTAGTTGTAACCAAATCAAATATAGATAGTTTGGCTGGAAATGGCCATACCTTTAACATCATGCCAACTTGTTCATAAGCTCTGAAAAGCAAAGCAAAATTAAATCAGTGCTGAAAGTGAATGAATTTAAAGTGAATCATACCAAAGAATATAGGACAGACAATCCTAAGATGTAGGCATCTTGGAGCTTATTCATTCTGCTGCAATATGCAGCACAGAACCAGACATCTAAATTACATGTGCCTTGATTTTTGCTCCATGATTTGGCTTGAAATGGGAATTTATAGCTCTCTCCCATGAGATGATGTGTGGGGAGCTCACTGGCTGTCCAAAAAGTAAGTCCCTTTTTTTAAAAGAGTAAAATATAAAGTAGATGCATAACCGTACATCTCTTATTGCTACCTAATTTTGTAATATGCGAGAAAACTCACAAGGTACCGTATATACTCGAGTATAAGCCGACCCAAATATAAGCCAAGGCACCTAATTTTAGCACAAAAAACTGGGAAAACTTATTGACTTGAGTATAAGCCGGTTCACCACACCACAAACCTGGTGGTGGCGGTAGCGGCGGAGGAAGAACAAGCACTCCGAAAGATTCCTCCTCTGCCACTGCCGACAGCGGCAAAGGTGGTGGAGGAGCAGCCCGAAAGGGCTCCTTTCAGGCCGCTCATCCCTCCACTGCTGCCTCTGCCGCTTGCAAGAGTAGGCATGGGACCCACGGATGGGAGAGGCACAGGGCAGCGCAGCGCCTCTCCCAACTGCGGCTCCTGTGCCTGCCGTTGCGAGAGGCGGGCAGCAGCGGTGGGACCAGCAGCAAGAAAGGGCTCCTTTCAGGTCGCTCGTCCCTCTGTTGCCGCTGCCCACCTCACTCGAGTATAAGCAGAGGGGGGCCTTTTCAGCATAAAAAATGTGCTGAAAAAGTCAGCTTATACTTGAATATGTGCTGATTAGGATGTGGCAATTAGGATTTGGGGGGGGGGGGGAGTATTAAAAAAAAACCTGCACTTTTTGATTATTTGCTTTGTAACTGCTCCAGAAACAGGTTTTGCCTTGAATCTTAATTTTGTTTGCCCAGGCTTAGGCAGAGCAACTGCCTCACTGCTGAATGGGCTTTGGCTCTGGTGCAACTATACACTGGCTTAACTTATTTCAGCTTCCTTTGTCCCAGCTTCCTGTGCACTGAATTGCTGAATTATATTTTGATGAGTGTCAACCTCAATTAGATTTTCCATATACTGAAGAGCTCTCAACAAATTAAAACTGCATTCATACTTACTTTGCAGCATGGAAGAGACTGGAAATAAATCATTTTAAGTCAAGGATACAAATTATACCATGTCTTCCTGAAATAAATACTATATTCAATCTTGAACTGTTTTTAAAGAGGGTAGATACTTGAATGCTATTGGTACAAGTTAACATTCATATATGGACCAAATAATTCCACAAAGACAAAACAATCCAGATCATTTCAAAACTACTACTTTTGGTTGTGGAGCAACAGACCCTTCTGCATCGTGACAAGCAGCTTTTCTAGCTCAAACTTTTGATTGAAAAAGACAAAAGATCCAATGGAGATGCAAAAGCTAGTGTCTCAAGAAGCACTCGTCAAGAGCTGTGGTCATGAGTCATGTGGTAAACAGAGAAACTTCTTGAATTTCCTCCCCTAAATATGATAGAACACATTACATCAGTATTTCACTAAACGTTTGGAATAAAAAAAAGGAGTAACAGTCCAATAGTCATGTTTTCAAACCCTTAAGCAAAGCAAGAATTAATGAAAGGATACGCTTTATTGTTTTCCTGGCAGAGAGCTTCTTTATAATAGGCTTCTTTTGCCTGATCATATTGTTTGGCATTTTTAAAAGCAACAGCTGAAAAGAAATAGAAATTAAAATATATTCGCATGTGTTTGCATGTACATAGTAATATCCATTTACTACACCTCAGAAATCATATTTAGAAGGGAACTTTTAAGAGACAATTTGGATTTTTACTTCAGCAAAGTGATTTCTGCCCAGATCCTGTCAAGTTTATTATCACATTCATAAATCAATTAATGCCATACATTTCTTGCAATTTTAAAGAAATGTGAATTACTTTTTATTATTTGTAGTAATCCTGAATAATGATATGAATCTTAAAGAAAATCACATTTTAGCATCAAAGGCTTTCACAATGTTATGGCTACAATCTTTATGCACACATACTTGAAATTAAGCTTCATTTCACACTGCAGGGCTTACTTCCAAGTAAATAGGCATAGCATTAGGCTGCAAGAGACATACTTTGGCCTAAGAAGATTAGACAACACTCCAACCTCTAGCCACTAGGAAATACTGTGCAACCTGACATCCATCAATAGTCTAAGGTAACCTCTGGTTTTCTTAATATAATGACTGCTGGGGTTTTTTTCCCTTGTCTGGGTCCCCCAGAAATGATGGCTCCCATGAATGTAGAAATATACTTTTTCCTAGATATTCTGAAGTGTTTTGCTCCTGAAAAGCCTTTATAAATTAAACCAGTCTAGCATTTCAAACAAACCCCCGAATATATCGCCTGTCTATTTTTACCCTATGTATTTATTCAGAAATGCAGAACAATGACAGGTAGTCAGTTAGCTACTGCTGCAAGAAAACAGCACTGTGGGTTAGAGGAATTTCAACAAGTTAATCCACAAACTGCTTTAACTGCCAATAGAAGTTAGCTTTGCCAGGGAACATATGAAACATATTTAAGGTTGCAAAAACGAACTGCCAACATTTTACAGAACATACCTGCTTTTGAATATTCAGTTGCTGCACTATCATAGTCTGGCTTCCATTTTAATAATCCAGTTTTCAAACTGAAATGTAGAATAAGCCAAGAAATTAATAACAATTCATTTTATTAAAAAAAAACCTCTTTATTGTAAACTGCTTACTTTTCTTACAAATAGTAATAACAACGATATGCTACATCATTAAGGAATTTGATGCTGCAACTGTCATACCAGCGATTGCCTACTGGCTAGTAATTTCACTAGATGTGTCAAAATGGTGACCAGGTATCAGGTCTTACAGTCAAACCTTTTTAATTCTACAAAGAAAAAGAGATTTATCTGGTTCAAACATAGCTGAGTTAGGGGAGGACATGCATGAGCTTTGCAGCTTACTGGTGCCACAGCACATGCCTCTAGTTTCAATCTCTGACATAGCGTAACAGGATCTAGGAAGAGTGGTGATGACCTCTACCTAAGTACTGCAACCAGTACAGGTCGGGTGGCCCAGTGACGCGACTTTGTTTTAAGGTAGAGTCCACAGAGGTTGGGGTGGGGGAGAGAAAGGAAGTACGCAATACTTCAGGGCTTGAACATCCTGGGTCAAGCAAGCCCCATTAAGGGGACGACGCACTGATGACGAGGGTATGCCTGAGGGATGCAAAGTGTTGTTGTCTGCGCATAAGCGCAAAACCCAAAACAAGAAACCGCCCCCCTCTTTCCTGGCGGGGGAGCTCAAGGCAGAGCCGCCTGGAGTTGCTCTCAAGAGACGAGCGCGGGTCCGAGAGGGGCTCCCTCCGCCCACAGCTCCTCCCCGGGGGAAACCGCCCCGTCTCCCGGCACTGCTCCATGGGGAGCTGGAGGTGCGCAGTCAGCCACAGCCCCCGGGTAAAGCCTCCCCACTGGCCCGCCTGTTCCCCAAGGGCTGGCAAGCCGGCTTCCCTTGTCCCTCGCCGGCTTCCTTCGCCCTCTCCCCTCGCTCACTATTTCTCCGCTTTAGCGATGTGCTCCAAGCCTTCGTTGATCTTCTGGGCAGCCATGTCGCCCCGCAGGACCTGCAGGGACTCAAGGCCGTGACGTTAGCGGAGGTAAGGAACGCCGCTGCACCCAAACAACTGCGAAGGGCGGAGTCTCCGCGAAGGGCGCTTGCGCGAAGAGAGGGTGTTCTTCCCAGGGGCGGGTCTGATTCCGTAGCGTCGCGCTCCTGCGAAGTCAATGCGGATTCTGCCAGCTTTCCACAAATGGGTCTCTTGAACGACAGCTTCAATTAAAAAAATTAAAAATGCGCCTTGTTTCAATACATGAAAAAGCACTCAATTTTTCAATAAAATGGTTATGACGTTGCCTTTCTTCCCATACCCTGACAATGCTAGTTAATCTTATCATTTGATCTGCTTCCCAAACCTTTGATATCCAATCCTCCAGTGATAGCACATTAGTTTCCCCAGTTATATTAGATTGCCTTGCTTACGGCCGTTATAGATGTATAGCCATTTTTCTGTCTTCTTATAATACATTAATCTTTAACATTGCAAAAGATTATAACAGATCTTCATCTACCATCTCAAATAGGAGACCTACATTTTTTGGGGGGGGTCTGCTCTCGTCATCTATTGCTAACGAATGGAAATATAATTTGATTTGTGCTTATATGACTGAACTGGTCAAATGAGGTGGAGCATTCCATTCTTTTACTTCATACTGTACTGTATTTCATTTTAGGAAGGCATCATAGCAGGTTATCTTGCAAGCACTTTATATTTTCCTAGTGACAAGCAAACTGTAGGAAGAAACCAGTACTTAATATGCACTACTGTACTTAAATACTTGAAACAGAATCACAAAAGGTCATGCTAGAAGAATTGGCAAATAGACTTATTTGGTAACATGGGTTGTGGAGAGCTACAATGGTCATGGTTCAGTTCCCACCTTAGCTGATAATCATTGAGTGTTTTGAGCATGGGTGTGGCCAGGATTTATGTTGCAGGGCAGGCTTCATGTTAACTTAGATTTCTGCCTACAAATAGGTATAGTACAATCTTGTACAAATACTAGGAAATTAGTATTGTAAGAATCATCAAGGGTTTTGCTTACTGAAAGTGAGATATAAACTCTTGCACAAGTTTGTGATTGAGATGTATATACATTGACAGTGAAAACCTTTAAGAATTTGACTGTATTACAAATGATGAGAGAGACTGTGGCCTGGAACATTTAGGATGAAACAACAAAAATTATCTAAAACAGAAACAGATGCAAAAATATATGGAGACCGTTTTCAAGCCCAACAATGTTAAATAATAATATATATCCTGTGATTTCTGCATTAGCACTGCACTAAAACTTCTCTTATGTAGAGATCAAGTATCAGAATACTTTTGCTCAATGCTCTACTACTTTATACTTGTACACACATACCCAGATATTTGGGACAAATTACAGATCCTGGGACAACAAGGGTTCTATTGTAAAGGTTTTAAAAATAGAATTCTGGTTTAACTTACATTGTAACAAATGCTGTCCAGCAGAGGGCTGTATATGAACATATATTGAGCAGTTCCCGGGTGTCATTAAACAAGATGGCTCTCAAAACTGAATTTATTTACAGAGGAATTCACTGCATCCTGTTTCTTTCTCTTGATATTTATTGCTTTTATACTACACAACCTATAGAATCAAACAGTGTCCTACAAAAGGTGCAAAATTTTGCTTTTGTGTGTGCTATTGCAGTGTAAACATATGCTAGTTTACTAAGGCTGTGCAGTCAGGATGCACAATTTATGTCTAGGAATCCTCCAATTCAAAAAGTCTGCCCTGGGTCATCTGGCAGTAGCTCCACATCACATCCTGACCCTTCTCTGCTTGGGAAAGGAATGGGACAACTCAAGAAAAGTGCCATGAGAAGTGAGGGCTGGGGAAAGTGATCAATAGTTTATCTTGTTCCCTCCCACTGGAGTTAATTGGAAGGGAATCTGAAAAATACAAATATTTAGGTTACAAAACTATAAAAATACAGTCATACCTCGAGTTGAATGCACTTCGGGTTGAGCGCGTTCGAGTTGCGCTCCGTGGCAAACTGGAAGTAACGGAGTGTGTTACTTCCGGGTTTTGCTGCTTGCGCATGCGCAGATGCGCAAAATGACATCACGTGCATGCATGGTAGCGGCGAAACACGACCCGCGCATGCGCAGACGTGCTGTCGTGTCTTGTGTTCCGTTCGGGATGCGAACAGGACTCCGGAACAGATCCCGTTTGCATCCCGAGGTACCACTGTAAAGAAAAATTAAGTTTGTAAAACAATAATTACCATGTGGTTAGGGTAGATCAACGTGTCAGTGTCCACTTATCCCCAGTGTAAATATGACATATTGGCAAAAGTCGGAAATTGAAAGATAACTATTAGCATGTACGCAGAAATCGATTTCAGATTTGAAATCAGCATTGAAAGAACATATAAGAACAGCTGAAAAATCTCATGCAACAGAAAATGGGAAAAAAAATTGTTCCCCAGTGATCTGTCTGAAGTCTCACAATATTGGGTATTCAGCAGTGCAGGGAAGAACAGTGTCTTTGATGTAGAGGAGAAGATAAAAAATATAGTCATTGTTTTGCAAAGAATTATAGGATCAATCACTGGGGAACAACTACCTGAACCAAAGGCATTCATTTTTACAGCAAACTGAAATAAATGAGTTGTTTATATTAAATACATGATATAAAACCAATGCAATATATTAGAAGAGAGTTATCTCATTATAAAAACCGCTGCATGAAAATGCCAGGGGAACTTCATTTGACCTTCACTGGTTTCTTAAGTCCCCAAGATATGCGAGATAATTTTGTTTGACATTTATTTAATGACCAGCTTTGATATGCAACATTCACTTGGCCAATGGGTTATAAATTGCTTTTGGAACATTTGTGGGAATTTACTTTTGTTAAGAGGCATACACAATTGAAATTGAAGATAATATATTCATTACTAGAAACTCAAGATCATAAAGCTACAGAGAGATAGAATGCAACATTTTCATCTCAAGGCCTTTGGGGAAGAAAAAATAACAAGGAAATGTCTTTGTCGCTATTGCAGACTATAGTTTCATCATTCTTTAAAAGGAACTGCAGTCAATTACTCCACTCAAGCTCTTTCTGCATCTCTTCCCTATAACTTCATGAACTGAGAAGAAGGCATCAGAATGCTGCTGGAAGGAGATAAAGAAGTTCTCATTCAGGTCAAAGCTGCAAGATGCAGCAAAAGAGCAAGAGAAATTAATGTGTTACTCCATCTTACAAATGATGCTTGTCTGGAGGGTTACGATTAATTTATAACCATTTGCCTTGTTAAAAAAACACATGTCACATGTAAATGCATAGAAAGATAATAACAAGGCTGCAGTTCTTTAATCATAAATACTGTGATCTGGATTCTTTTCTAATTTCCACAGTGATAGTGGTAGAAAGGAGGAAGAGGGACAGATATTGGATTACAATAATTTAAAGATTTTTAGGAATGGTGCATGCTAAGCTTTTTCTTTTTGGCTTCCCAGACTAATGTACCTCAAATCATTCGTGTAGACTGCATTATAACAAGATAACAGAGGGCATCTGTTTAATCAATTTGCGCAGGTTATTCTGAATGTGGTATTCGGTGTTCTGCAGAATTCTGAATAGTATGTCAAGGACTGGAAGGAGGACTGGATAAACCACAGGGAGAGGGTACAATTGGTAGACAAAGCCTCTAGGATACAGGATTTCAAACATACCCTCTAATCCACGGAAGTCCTGCCCAACAGCTATGCTGTACAATTTGGTTGGCACTGTCTGCTTCTCAGGGCGGGCTTCAAGCTAAAGGTAAAGGGACCCCTGACCATTAGGTCCAGTTGTGGCCGACTCACTCTGGGGTTGCGGCGCTCATCTCGCTTTATTGGCAGAGGGAGCCGGTGTACAGCTTCCGGGTCATGTGGCCAGCATGACTAAGCCGCTTCTGGCAAACCAGAGCACAGAAACACCGTTTACCTTCCCACCGGAGCGATACCTATTTATCTACTTGCACTTTGACATGCTTTCGAACTGCTAGGTGGGCAGGAGCAGGGACCGAGCAACAGGAGCTCACCCCATCAAGGGGATTCGAACCGCTGACCTTCTGATCAGCAAGTCCTAGACTCTGTGGTTTAACCCACAGCGCCACCTGTGTCCCTAGGGCTTCAAGCTAGATGAGCTCAAACAAAGCTGTTGGGCAGGATTACTAATGATTAGAAGGTATGCTTGAAATCCTGCTTTTGTCTCCTTAAATTGCTTTGCCTACCAACAGTGTTGTGTATGTGTCTCAACTGTATAAGATCTTCTACATTTGGTCAATTCTATTGCCTCTTTCCCTCCACATGATTGTCTTAGGCACATGTGAACCTACAATTGTGTGAAGAAAGCACCATAGGAAACACCAGAAGTAAGAGCCAAAGTAGATGTGAAATAAAATACATCTTTGCATTTAATGCCTAGGATTTTGTTTTGTTTTTAAAATGCAAATAGGAGCAGGTGTGTATGGAGAGGGAATGTAATAATTTCTTCCCTGCTGCAGTCCTGCCAAAAATCCCTCCAATGATGCTAGTATTTGCCTTGGGAGGAAATCCCCTGCTGGCACCCCCCACCTAGTTAATATAATTTAAATATTAGATTACTGCAATGTGTTATACATGGGGCTGCCACTGAAGAAGGTTCGGAAACTTCAGTTGGTGCATAATTCAGTAGCCAGGTTGTTCACCGGGACAAGATGATTTGAGCATATAACACCAATCCTGGCCGACTGCACTGGCTGCCAATTAGTTTCTGAGCCCAGTTCAAAGTGCTGGTTTTGACCTATAAAGCCTTAAATGGCTCAGGATGGCAGTACCTCAAGGATTGCCTTCTCCCCACATGAACCAACCCCAGACCCTGCAACCATCACCTGAGGCCCATCTTCGTGTGCCTTCTCCACATGAGGTCCAGAGGGTGGCAACATGAGAATGGGCTTTTTCTCCAGCGGCTCCCTGTTTGTGGAACACTCTCCCCAGGGGAGGTTCACTTGGCACCATTATTATATATCAAGGTGCCAGGCAGAAACTTTTGTCTACAACCAGGCCTTTGGCCTTTAACTTGTTATTTTATCGTTTACTTGTGTCCGACTCTTCGTGACCCTATGGACCAGAGCACGCCAGGCACTTCTGTCTTCCACTGCCTCCCGCAGTTTGGTCAGACTCATGTTTGTAGCTTCGAGAACACTGTCCAACCATCTTGTCCTCTGTCGTCCCCTTCTCCTTGTGCCCTCCATCTTTCCCAACATCAGGGTCATTTCCAGGGAGTCTTCTCTTCTCATGAGGTGGCCAGAGTATTGGAGCCTCAGCTTCACGATCTGTCCTTCCAGTGAGCACTCAGGGCTAATTTCCTTAAGAATGGATGTGTTTGATCTTCTTGCAGTCCATGGGACTCTCAAGAGTCTCCTCCAGCACCATAATTCAAAAGCATCAATTCTTCGGCGATCAGCCTTCTTTATGGTCCAGCTTTATGGCCTTTAACTATCCGTGGCATTTAGAAGTGGATGGGCTGCATTCAGTGCATTTTCCCTCACTTGGTTTTAATGTATCTGTGTGGATCTTGGTTGGTTGGTTTGTAAGACACTCTGGGTTGCCTTGGACAAGATAAAGCAACTAATAAATTTAATAAATAATATTTTTAAAACAAACAGTAGGTTAAATGCAAGGATGCATTTAATATCAGATCTAGTTTAGCTCTTAAGTAGCCATTTGCACAGCAGTATGCTTTGAAATGGCTGCAGTTCTGGGAAAGGCTGGCCGAAATAACTAGTTCAGATGATATGCCCCTTCAAATGATTTATTTCTGGATATTATTCTTGTGAGGAGCACAAACTGGAACAAATTGTTAAAGGCTGTGTCTGTACTTGTGACGGACTCACTAATTTATCAGTACAGCTTGTGATGTAGCGCAGAGATTGTCAATGGGGAACTTAATATTTCTCACCCTTCTTCAGAGGGTTACTGTAATGTGAGGCAGACCCACGTATGATTCTGCAGTCTGGTACATAGGCACCAGTGTTTGGAACCATGACATAAATCTCCAAGGATACATTGCCAAACACCCATTTATCCACTCAAATGAGGACTAAAAACAGTTTTGTAAAAGGAAGGAAGGAGGAAAACAGGCACATGCAGAAAGCTGGCACTGCTTTCAACTCAAAAGTGTCTGGCAACAGTGAAGAGAAAATGGGCACATCATTTCAACACTGCTGTAGATCTGCTAATTAAAAAGAAGTGTACAACTGATGGCAATACAGCTGCCCAAAGTTAATCCATTTTAACAACATAGGGAGTGTTTTGACACTCAACCTTTTGCAGCATGTCAGCTGAATGGATCAGAACTTGGCAGGCACTGCTAGAACCTAATTTGCTGCAATGATTAATGTTTTCTTCTACTTTGCTCTTTCATATTTGGTGTATACCTGTGAATGTATCATAAATCAGAGCTTATCTGTCATGAACCAGAGCTTAGCAGTCTTCATTCTTCAAAAATCCAGTAATCACAGGAATTGGCAGCCCAATCCTCTCGCTCTTTAGCTGTAATGAGGCAAATAGCAGTGTATTAGCTGACTCCCTTCTTCCCGATATATAAAAAAAATTCACACAGATGGCAAAATCCTACATAATACATTGTGGTTGTGCAGCCATATTTCCTTGCAGTTTGGGAACTGCAACTGGACAATAAAATATTGCAATTGGACAATAAAACATAGTCCATGCAATACAGAAAATGCCACACACCAATGTAAATAAGTAAGTAAGTAAGTAAGTAAATACCTGAGACCTCAGCAGTTAATTGTGCACTTAAATCATACTGGTTGTATCAACAAGTGTTGCTCAGCTGATGGTGTAGCTTCCATTAGCAAAATGGGGAAGAAAGTCATTTTCAGCTATTTCCTCACCTACCCACCCAGAACAGATTTAGGGTGGGGCAGGGGCTGCAGCAGGGAGAATTAATTGCCAAAAATTGTTTACCATCATGTTCTGTTGACAGAAGCCTTACCACCAGACAAACAACACTATTGGACACACCCCTATTCTAAACTTGCCTAAAATCTCTATCTTTACTCTCAGGTACCTTATTATGTTTGGGTACTTTGATTTAATAAAGGTTGTCTTTTCTTTCTTTCATTGCAATGTTATTCTTTGTCTTTTGAGGGATGCCTGAGAACTCATTTGAAACAAAAGGCAAATTATAAATCTTCAGATAAATAGGAATGGATATTTTCAGGGAATTTCAGAATGACTGTTTTGCTAACAATTACTAAGCTTCTGAAGCTCTGTACACTGCACTTTTTTCTAGGGCAAAAAACCATTGATGTCATCCTTATAATCTGACCTTTCCTTGTCCTGGTTCAAACAAAGTACTACAAACTGTTACGGCCTATTTCTGACACAGGTAAACATGATAATTCAAATTCTTGTGGGCTTGATTTTCTCAAGGGTTTTTCAAGAATCCACATGGAACACTTGAAGACCCCATTCTTACCGTATTTTTCCGTCTATAAGACGCCTCCTATTTGGGGGAACCCAGATTTAAGAAAATGGGGGAGATGCATCCATGCATAAGACGCCCCCTAATTTTTGACATTTTTTGGGGGGGGAACCTAATCTTATACACAGAAAAATACGGTACTTTTTATTGGAAGCCACTTTTCAGACTTTATGAAGAAAAGTGGGCTAACAGCTTCTCAAGTAGATGAATAAATAGACCAGTGCATAAATGAGGAATCTATGACTGAATAACTGCTGTCACTCTGCTGAGTTGCCTTTGCCAGCAAGACTTGGAAAACAAGTTTTTCTACAACACATTGCATTTCATTGTCAAGCACAGATGAGTAGAATATTCAATAGAAGGGTAGCATATGTTAGAGGACTATATTGCTACAAGAAAAATGCCTTTGAGCAGAGAAATCATTTTTAAAAGTTTGGGTGGGGGGAAGAAAGATTGTTCTGGATATGCAATGTTGCTGGCACAGAATAAAAAGCATCTCCACCTGGTTACTGTAATGGAAAATGAGAGATAATGCCAAAGCATGACAAGATGTGTTTTTCTCTGACATGTGCCTGGGAGGAAAAGGATATAATTGCATGCTATAAATAATGTCTCTGAAGTGAGTGCAAAGTAGTTAATCCTGCCTATATTTCATCTTTAACCGACCTTGGAATAGTCTATGCAAACTAATTAATCCGAGCAGTTTAGAAAAGCTAAATCTTGAAGGCATGTGATGCCCCAGTAAAATACTACTGGATTCTGCTATTGTTGTACAGAATGAATGGTGCCTCCTAGTTTGGCTATTGCTTAATTCAATGTGCTGTTGATAGAATATGACATTCTTTTTTATTCAATACTTTATGACAAATGTCTGTGTCGCTCTTGGCAGAAAAGCTTACTGACATACCTTCCCTGAAGACTTTCAACCTGTAGGCCTGACTTGACCTTGAGGTCAAGAAGCCTTTGGTATTTTGCCCAATGCCTCAAAACAGGTTATTCCACACTTGTCTTATTGCCAGATGCCAATAGAGACACTATCAATGGAGAGGACTGTAACTGAAGCATGAAGTCTAGAAGAATGTCTGAGTGATTGCAATCAACTTGCTCAACTTAAGGAGCACTTGAGCATACAGTCATACCTCGGGTTACGAACGCTGCGGGTTGTGCATTTTCAGGTTGTGGACTGCGCCAAATCTGGAAGTACTGGAACGGGTTACTTCTGGGTTTCGGCGCTCGCTCGAAGGCAAAGCCCAGCATTGCACTGTGCCTCCCGCACAGATCACGTTCTCAACCCAAGGTATGACTGTATATATTTTAGCCCTGGCCACTTGTTCATGCCATGCACTCTTATACCAAAGTTCCCATTTGTGTGCTCTAAATTCACTAAACCTGAGGAGGGACCAATGTAGCTACAGAGTGTACACCTGGCTGGGTCTATTTTACATCTAATGTGATCAGCTGCAGTTACTCAGAATACCATCCTCCATTGTAGGTGTGGCTATAAAGAAGGTGGGGAAGTCATTTTTATGTCTATTGACACTTATGTCTAAAGGAGCTTTTAAATTTACTCCACCTCTTCTGAAGGCATATGGTGAGATTCACCTAATGAGCCCTGTCAGCATAATCCCTGCACATGGACTTCTGCTTGTGCAATGGAGCTTTCCTCCTCTCCTCCCTCTGCATGCCCCCTCCTTTTGGCTTGGCAGGGGGCGGGGTGTTGTGAGAACTCTCCAAACAGCCCATGGAGAGAGGAGAAGAAGAGTGTTCTACTGGCAACCTCAAATGCTTGCCAGAATTTTACGGAATTCAAACTGAAAATTGAAAATTTTAAAGAATTCAAATTGCAATACAATAACATACAATATAAGAAATAAAAGAAGCAATTAAAATACAAAATACAGCATCTAGCACAGTAGGCTGCAGTTGCTACAACAGGAAAAAACACATTAAGTGGTCTGCCAAGATCCTCTGCAATTTTGAAGTGGTCCTTGAGGAGAAAGTTTTGGAACCGCTATCCTAGACGTTTGACATTTCATTATTTGACTCCTAATGTTAAGAAATATTTTATTGTTGGATCCTCCTTCCTTTAATATCACTTACTACTAAACAACACAGGAAAGACAAAACACCAGGACTAAAAATTGTCTTCCAGATGTACCCTGTAGTCATGACCAAAGTTGCTAAACCAAGGCCCACCTTGGGGACCAAAACCAAAATCAGCAACAATGGGGCCAGCAGTTTCCAGAATATTAGCAGTACTTATTATACCAAAGGTACCATGTTGGCTAAATCTGTTTTAGGGCATTTTGTGGAATTAAAATGAAAAAAAAACTCCTGGAGCCTGTTGTCTGGTGTGGGTGGGGAGGAAGGAAGGTGTCAGTGCAATGCTGGGCTTTGCCTTGCTGTTGACAGCTCCTAACGATGTTTCACCCCTAAGCCTATATTAAAGCGGGGTGGAATCTGCCCCCTTCTCACCTTTAGCTACATTTCTGTAAATATGACAGGGTGGTCAAGAAGTGACAAGTCAAAGTGGAATGTCAAAAGAAGCTGTAAAAAGATGCAAAACCACGCACAAAAATGAGAAAGATACTGTTGCTCATCATTCTTAGCAGCTGTCCTCATTTTCATAAGGAGCCAAAAAGAAACCCACAACAGTGAGTCATCTCACATTTGCATCCTTAGCAGTGAAGGATGATAATTTATAGAATTACCATTTTGCATTCTGCATATTGAATATGGAACAACTTCCAGTCACTAGTTCTAGTCCTTCTTCGGTTCTCACATATTAAAGTCGATTAGAATTTCCACTATATGTGTAAACGTGTGTTCAAATGATAACTGAAATCCACTTTTTTCCTATCCTTTGAGTTAAATTTTACAAAGAGAATAGCTAAATCACATTAAAGGGAAATTAAATGTGATTAACTTCCATCAGGTTATATTGTAGCAAGCAGGCCTACCACTTGATCCTATGCATGCTTAGTGAGGAAGACATAGGTCAGACTCTACCTTAATAGTGATTACTCTCAAGTGTTCATAGGATTGAAGCTTTAGTGGGTAAAACAGATTTATGGAAAAAGTAATCCTTTGGTTTGACTATTAAGAAGTCTGTAGTTCTATACCCTACCCAATGACAGGAAGAAGGACCCATGACCTACAATGGGAGATACAAGGGGCTGAAAAAATTATATGCTTACTTTTGACACAATGTGCATACACTAGAAATGTGGTCTTTACTCCTCAGATGGGCGAGGTATAAATAATAAATTATTATTATTATTTGTATGAACTTATCTGATTATCTGTTTGATGAATGGGCATTAATGTTGTACATTTCCCCATGAATTAAAAAGGAAAGAATAACTCAAATTTGGTCATGAAGGTCAGTGTTGCCAGCTTTACAAGTGAAGATGTACTGTTTGTACTATTTGTTTCAGCTGTTGAATGGTTAGCCAAGTAGATAGTCTATGACAGGTGCCCCTTTGAGTTTGGTGCCCCAGGCATCTGCATGGTTCATCTATTCCTAAATCTGGCCCCGAACATCCTGTCTTGCTCCTTCAAGCAGCAAGCTGATAGGGCACAATTATCCCCACAATATCTGAACATCGTGAGGAAAACTCCTGGAGTTGTTATGGAAAAGATGACACCTCATTAATGAAAGTCTGACTCACTCTGTAGGTAAATTCAGAAGCAGAAGGAGACCATTCACACTAAGTTGTACATGGCACCAGCTATTATTGGTATATCCCAGGACAAACAGCTGATGCAGCCACATCCTTAGAAGATACTAACAATAGAAAATGAGCAACTGGGTTAGTTTCATGGCATCCTACATTATGCAACTGAATGTCGTGTTTTTGTTGAAAACAACTCTTCGTATTATATCTCTCAACAAAGTATGTTTTAATAAAGCTTAATATTCTTGTCTGCATGCTTTTGGCTATGCATGGAACTTGTTTACGAAAAATCAAATGCATTTTGAGGTAAAGTGAGCACTTTTGCCAACATTTCCATGGCTTTTTGGCTGTTGTTGTTCTGATGTGGGAAGACCTCTTGGCCGCGGGCATAATCTCCCACTTTACATACAGCTGGCAAGTGAAAACAATATCAGAGCATCTCCGTGACACATGCGGCTTTTATATGGCAACCCTTTATACTTTCCTGCAGTTTCCTTTGAAAATGCTTAGAACAACTGTGTCTGTTTCCTTTCATTAAGATTATGTGTTGTTTGAGCCAAAAAAACAGGACAAAGCTCATTAATTCTGTTCAAAATTGCTCCGCCCTCCACACACATTGTTTGGCTGGATACCTCTGTCTCTAAAAGGAGTTTTATCCACTAGAAACCTAGAAACCTGTAATGTGTTATCAGCTATTAATTGGAATGTTCCTTGGAGTTACAGGAGATAAAGAGGCTGTTGATAATAGGTTGGCCCAACATCACATACATTTTTTAAAAAATCACATTGTCAGTTGCTATTAGATAGGTCAGATCAGTTGAGCTGCTGGATTTATTAATATTATGCATGGATCCATCTCCCTTCATTTACCCAGAAGAGATAGCTTCCATAATTATGGCATTTCAGATTCATTAAATTTATTTCGGCTAGTCTTGTCTCATCACCAGAGACACCTATGAGAATAATCACTTCATACATTTCTGTATTTTGATAAATATTAACCCTGTTAGATCACACCAAAGGCCCATCTAGGGTAGCATCCTGCTTTCACTGTGGCCAATGAGATGCCTATGGGAAGCCCTCAAGGAGGTCCTGAGGGCAATATCACTTGCCCAACTTGTGAGCTTTATCATACTGCCTCTGGCATAAGTACGAGAACATATCTATCATGGCTATTAGTCACTGACAGCCGTATCTGTTACAAATTTGCTAAACCGCCTTTAAAACCAGTAAAGTTGTTGTCCGTCACATCTTGCGGAAGTCAGTTCCATAAGTCAACTATGTGCTATGTGAAGAAGTACTTCGTAAATTTCCAACATTCAGCTTCTACTACTATGAGGGAATCTGCAAGGTTGCGGCTCTGGACACTCGTGAAAAATTAATGTTGCTTAAAGGAAAATGCAGGAAAGACATGAAAAACCAGGTGGGCTGCTCACAGTAAGGGCAAAATCAGACACTACTTTAACTGCCTCATTAGCTCCCAGGCCTGGATGGTTTAGCTAAGAGGACAATTTTTATCAGGGCCACAGTGCACAGAGTGGGGAGGGAGGCTGAATCTTTCACTCCTAACCTGTAATTTCAATCACACACACGCTGAAAGTAATAGCCATTTTTAAAAGCTCCCAATGAAGCCAGGCATGGTTGCTAACCACCCAATAAAGAAAAATACTGTTTGTCCCATCCTGCCCTCCCACATTTTTTTTTCTGAAATAGAAGAAGTTATAGAACAGCACAATCTCTCATGCTTAACAAAAGTGTGTTTATGCATGGGTTGCTATATTTGGAAATAAAAAGACCTACAGGTTTCAGTAGATTGGATCTTCCATCAAGTGGGGCAGAATAATATATTTTAGTTTTGCCACCTGTGAGTTAAACCAATTCTCTATAACTGAAGGTCTGGGAAATGTTACTGAATGTTGTGTCTCTCTCACTGTGTGTGTGTGTGTTAACGAATATGTGTTTTATAGTCTTTTCTCCCTCACCTTCTCAGGCTCTGCCGTTCCTTTAGCTTGTAATAATGCTAGTAACTTCACCACCCAGGTCTGGCTCTCTGTTTTTCTCCAAATAATTTGTGTTGATAAACTCCAGTTCCACTTGACAATTTACCACTGGAAGAGAGAGAGAGGGGCTCAGCCTTTCTGAATGACTAGCATGAAAGCAGCACATGAAAGCGATGTATGTCATCAATGAAAGTGGGCCGCCCTGGCATTTTATTTCCTTCTGGCATTAATACAAGTTTCTAAAGAGTTAAATATACTTTATTATATGCTGCAGGCAATGACTGGTACATAAAGATCAGACCACATGGTAACCCCCCCCCCAAAGAAAAACCCTCCTTCGGGGCTGCACATTTGTTTCTAATTTGGTGGTTAGCAAAAATGCTTCTATTTATGCTTCTCATTAAGGACCATAGTGCTTCAGATCCAGGAAGATGAGGGCTCCTTCCTTCCATTACATTTTAAGAAAAGCAGTATGGTCTCAGAAATACATCACTTTTCTTCCTCTTGCTCTCCCCTCCCCACATCTTAGCACACTTATTTTCAAACCAGCCATCAGTAGCCAAGCTATTAGTGAGTCTGTGAGAAGTGAGTCCTGTTATTCCATTGGTCCTATAAGCAACAACTAACAAGATGGGATAACAGCCCTTGACAATAGTTTTCCAAACATTATCTTTAACACTATGAACTCATGGCCCAGTTATATACTCCAAGGTACACTATTAGTGACATATAAGAGGTAGCTAAGGACCCCACCACCCCTTTCCCACCAGGAGCTGGTAGAAAAGGCTGTGCCACTTTGCTCCAGTATTAGGACTTGGCTTTGTATCCATCATGCGAACCATGTACTGTACTAACTGTACTAGTTAACTGTACTAACTATGGGATTTCTAAACATTTTTCACAACACCTGTTTGACCTCAGACATTGGGGGAAGGATGGAAGAGGAGGCAGGCCCACCGACAAATTATTACATATAGCATTGTATCCAGTGTTAGTTTTACACAGAGTAGACCCATTGAAATTAATAGGCATGCCTAGTTTTCATTGATTCTTTTCAATGGTCTACCCAATATCTAATAGGTTTTCATAGCAGCTTTTTATATCAGTAAGTGCTCCAGACAGAAAACTGTTGTAAGTGGAAGTATAATATTGTTTAGGTGGTACAGTGGTACTAAGCATGCATGTGGCTCTGCCTCACTTGTCTAATGTAGAACACCATGTTAGCCTCTGCCCATCTGGTGTCATGTGTGGCAAAATTGGTGGCTTCATTGGACATCTAAGACCAGTTGATACAATTACTCCAGAAGAAACTGTATGAATAATGCTAGATTAAAAGTATTAAAAGGTACTGCATGTATGTATGTCTTCAAACCTTTATTAATAATGCATTTGTTTTTCTCTGAGCAGTTATTATTATACCTAAGATTATCTGCATTTTTGTGACTGTTTCATGAGAAAAATTAAGGCTGGGAATGTCAGATTATCTGTAAATGGAGGAGTTTCTTGGGATGGAAGAATGCCAGGGATGAAGGAGTCTAAAGCATGCTTGGATCAGATAATGAGAGTGGGAGGTAAGCAACAACCAGATACACTTGGCAAAGAGTTTTACAGAATTTTATCCTCTGACAACTCTTTCTTGCTGTTTGGATCTTCAGCTGCTCTACAATATGGTTTTCTGCTTTCTAAAATCAATTACATTGTGTGGTTCTAGGGTGGAGATTGGGAGATGTCATATACTTCTCTCTTTCTCTCTCAACTTAGGGATCGGTTGACAGTGGTTTGTAAAAAGAGTTGGTGCTCTCAACGGGTTTGGAAAAGAATAAAGAGAGACAACACCCAGCACTGGAATGGAAATAGGCCACAGCTTCATTAAATCCCCAAACAGTTTGGCAATAGAAGGCAAGGACCCAAATGATGGATAATGAAATGGGTGGGACAGTGACTGAGGGCAGAGTCCAATGCAGGGAATTATTGCTCTTATCCAGTCTGGGTGGAAGCACTTGGTCTCAACTTACTTTCGAATTTCAAAATAGAAAGTACTGGAACAGAAGAGAGAAGTCCTCACCATTCCCCAAATCTAGTAGTCAGAGCCCAGCTCTCCCCTTCCCTCCTGGAAAGTAGAAAGCCTCATTGGGGGCTAAGGAGGACATCAACCAGCTTTCTCAGGATGGATGAACAGGAGTTGAAAAGAAAGGACTCAGCCTTGTTGCCTTGGACCAGGCAACACCTCCTCAGGTGGGAACAGATTCCCCTTCCCAAGTGCAGCGCATGCCTGCAAGCTTCCACCACAGCACAGGGATTTCACAAGCAACCTTGCCACACTTCGCCTTTGAAAGCTTGGCGGGTGGGTGTTGAAATCTATTGGGATAGCTCCATAGGTCCTGTGTAGTCCTGAACTCCTTAGACTCTTGAATTTTAAGCTCTGTTTCTATTCTGCCTAATCAAGCCCTTTTATTGCCTAGTTAGAAGTTTGAAGTTGTTATAACTTGATGCTTGGTGCTGAGCCTGTATCATGTTTCTAGAATAAAGATCTCTTTCTTACTACCAGGTAAGAGTCACAATCATCATACTTGAGGTGGGAACCAGGACAGACCCCAAGAAGCAACAGCTTTCTGGCATTGTCAACTGACAGCCATCCTCCATCCATAGTGATTCTTGTGTAGTACTACCGGTCAATTGGCAGGGAGTCAATTGGTGAGAAGATGTTCCCCGAGTGACTCTTTGCCTTCTATAGCCTGGGAGCACTTGTAGGAATGTAGCTCTTGCTCATGTCCACCCCTGACAGACAAGATTTAGGGACAGCCATGTTCCTCCCCCCCTCTGTAAAAACAGTATATTGTCACATAGCATCCATTCCTAGAGGTATTCTCCCAATTTAGTTTGATTGTACACCAGTATCCAATTACATAACTTCTGACTGGAGATGAAACATTAATTATGAGAAGAAGAAATGAAATGAAATATGAAGCATGTATCATCAGAAAGTGCTCATATATGAATCTTTATAGATAATATTAATTGTCATGTTAAAGATCTACCAAAATGTTACAATTTTCATTTTTTTTAAACATTGACAACTTTTGACTTTTTCAAAGAAAATTCACAACCAGACATGTTCACAGCTATTCCTGAAAGCCTTCTTGCACTGTTGTGTACCTAAAGTATGTCTCAAATCAATGTTAAGTTTAGAAACTTACTATGGCAACAGGGATAGGTATAGATTTTTTTTTAAGAGCATTAAAACTATGCAGATATCATAGAAGCTTAGCAAGAGAATGTTTAGTTTTGTTTTAATTTCAGAGAATAAAAATATAAACAAACTTTATCATACAACTGCCATATTCAATGAAATTATTTTATATGATAATTTAAGATTTCTGTAGGCCCTTCATGCACCACACACCCTATATACCCTACATTACTGCCCCTGGCTGGTAACCTAGGCTGTATCTACAATGACCTTTTTAATGTTATTAGAACTATATTAGCTATATCGTTCTAAAACGTCACAGGAATACTGCAGGGGGGAAAAAAGTGCCTTACCTTAAACGTTCCTTCAGAACATCAGTTTCCTTTACTGCCTGGTTCCTGGTTGCTCTGCAGTGCCCTCTGGTGTTACATTTTAATAACACATTATAGTTGTACAGTGGTACCTCGGGTTACATACGCTTCAGGTTACAGACTCTTCTAACCCAGGAATAGTACCTCGGGTTAAGAACTTTGCTTCAGGATGAGAACAGAAATCGTCCTCCGGTGGCACGGCGGCAGCAGGAGGCCCCATTAGCTAAAGTGGTGCTTCAGGTTAAGAACAGTTTCAGGTTAAGAACGGACCTCTGGAACAAATTAAGTACTTAACCTGAGGTACCACTGTATCTTGGCTCCCGAACGCCTTGGGAGTCAAACGTTTTGGTTCCCAAACGATCAAAAACCGGACGTGGGTGTTCCGGTTTTCAAACATTCTTTTGGAAGCCAAAGGTCCGAAGGGACTTCTGCGGTTTCTAGTTGGCTGTAGTAGCTTCCTGCAGCCAATCAGAAGCCATGTTTTGGAAGTTGAATGTTTTGGAAGTCCAACGGACTTCCGGAACAGATTCTGTTCGACTTCCGAGGTACGACTGTATTTTAATAACACATTATTAACATTACCAGCAAAACATAATGTGTCCATTACATTTTGAAAATTGTTCTTTAATGTTATAAACCATGAGTGTAGACCCACCCCTAATATATAGACTTCGAGCCCTGAATACAGTGCTGAAATGGTGCTGAAGACTCCTCAAGCCAAACCAGGCATATTTTCCTCTGCTACTGATCCAGTCTACTCAAACTGTATTTCTAGAGTAAAGATGACCTATGTCCACCATGCTGCTACTGCCTGGTGTTCTAATATTTCTAATCTAGATATGGGCCTGGGCTCTCAGAGCATGAGACAAGCCTTCTTAGGAAGCCACAACCATTGCTAGAGGAGGTATACTAGACTTGTGTGTGTGTTTTGCCTAGTTTTGTGTGTTTAATTTGTATGGGCTCTGATGCAGAGTATTTATATTTTTATTTATAGGAATTATTTATAGGTCGCCTCAAGGCACCTTACACAGTATTAAAAAAAACCACAAAGAAAAAGAAACTTACAATAGCTGTGATATTAACTATCCTTTAAAACAGAGGCCAGCTAAAACACATAAAACAACATAAACATTCCTGCAGGCATAGAAAAGCCATCCATCTTAATAAAGCTCTCTAATAATGAAGGCTTTATTTAAGAGAGGGTGATCCAAAATAAATGAGCTTTTAAAGCCTGCTGAAAAGTTCGCAGCACGGGGCCCAAATGAATTTCTGGACAAACCTGTCCTTCTAAAGACCAATCCATAGATCACAGTCTGCTGTCTCCATTGCTGGTGCTGAGAACCAATCACACTTCTCCCTGACTGCAGGTGTTTTGGGGTTCAGCGGGATCTCCCACTTGGGTATCACAATGAATGTGTTATGGCATCTTCCCTTTTTGGTTCATGCATGAGGTAGGAGACAAGTGAATTGACTTTGTACTGCCTTCCCTATAATTTCTGATACAGCTTCTGAGCCGGGGAGTCGAATGTGTTACAGGAATCTCCATTTTGTCCCTGGAAAGATGGGAAGCTGGAAATATTTAGCTGAAGTAGTTGTGTGTGAGACAAGGAAGCATTTCATATTTGAACAATTCATATTGATCAAAACATTTCATATTGATCAAAAGCTGAATTCATGCCAATCAGCAGTTATAAATCACCTACTTTGTATACTAAAATGGCAGTTTTCTTGGTGCACAGAAGTCTTTACACATCTAGGCATTTTGGTTAATTTGGAAAATGGGTATCACTTAAATTTAGTACTGGGGTAAGGTTAATACACTTAAGAATAATATTCTGCCATGAATAATATATACTAAATGGTATTTCATTATATATTCATTATATATGTTTTCAAAAGGTTAAAGGGGCATTTAGGAAATTTATTTGGGGTATTTCTCTGCCTTGTTTTTCACTTAAGAGAATGCTGCTGCCAGTATCAGAAGGCTGCTTTAGTTTTCCAGGTCTTAATTTCTATCAAAAGGCATATTTGTTAGCATGTACAGAAGGTTGTGAATTAGCCAGCTTGGGTAGTTTTAGAGATGGCTTATTTAACTCCTTTATTTGGATGACAGGGTCTGTGAATAATAAAAAGAAAGGATCTATAACACCTTCAATTTTTGCAGCTAGAGAGATATTGCATAGACTGGTGCTCATCATTTTCAATTTGACCCATATGCTCACACTAAATTAATGTAATCCAGATTTGAAGATAAAACAGGTTGAAGATAGATTATGCTTGTTGTTTTGTTTTTATTATAGGTGTTATTCACATACTGCTTTTTCTTTCTTTTGTTGTTTTTACAGCATTAGTCTCCCCTTTTCTTCTTTTTTCTTTGTTAAATTTGCAAATAAATATATTTTAAAAACAACATGTAGGGTGAATAAAGCTGCAAGAATTTGATGTAGCTTTCATCACCCACTGCTATGTATTTTCCCTCCTTTTGCTTTTCCCTCTCTGAGCTTCACTACATTTTCTGGTTTTCCAGCTTTGTTCCAAAGCAACTGTGTAGACATTTAGCTGCTAAAACAGATTATATCTATGAAAAAATCCAGTGCTAATAAAATCAACATCCTGTTTCTTTATGACTATAGTGAAAAGGGTGATGATGGCTTTCAGAGAGAGGTGGAGGGCTGGCTCTTCGCTTTCTGCTGCTCATTCTGAGTTATTTCAGGTTACTTGACAAGCTTCTGAGCATTCAAAACTACACCAGCAGACAATAAAGTCTAGTTAATATCCTGCTACAGGATATTAGAAAGGCAAACAGCTTTGTAAGATTAAAAATAGGATTAGATATGTAGGAGGGTACAAGAATAGTATCTGCAAGTACACCAGGCTAGAGAGAAAAACAAAGAGGCAACAATCCTTATTGCTGGGTTTAGGAAATAATTTCCTCTTGTAAAATAATACCCAACTGTCAGGTGCATTATGGCGTTGGGTTGAAACATCTATCAGATGATGCCAAGCTTTTGGACACATTCCAGAAGATCAGCATCCCATTTTGGTATACTGTACAAATGTTTACGGCGATTAGTGGTGCAGCAGTAAATTCAAGTTGGCAAATGCTAGTCAGGAGTGACATGTTCCTGCAGGTGGGACAGACAGGAAAACACTAGGAATAGTAAAGCTGGTTAAGTGACAGGGAGAAAGGTGGGAGGGTGGAGGTACATGGAATCTCATTGGCTGAGAATCCCAGCACTGTGACACCACAGTCTAGAAGGTGGGCGGGGATTAGTAGAACCTAAAAGATTTGTTTAGTGTGTGCAATCATGGAACCTAAAAGGATAACAATACTAAGTATTTATACAGCACTTAAGTCATAGCTGTCAACTTTTTTCCTTTTTTTAAGGGAAATTCCCTTATTCCAAATAGAATTCCTCGCAAGAAAAGGGAAAAGTTGACAGCTATGACTTAAGTGTGTTCAGAGCATTTTTAAAAATAATATGAGGAAACAACAAAAAAATGCCATAAACTGATACAAGTCAAGTAAGCATAGTATCCAATCAAGGCAATGCTTTTTCCATTTTTGAGTTCCAACGGGCATTAAGCCAACAGGTTAATAAATCTCACACTTTGATATATCAACAAAAGCATTACTGAATAAGATCCGAGCCATACAGAAGGCAATAGAAGACTTCCATTAGGAGGATAAATATCAAACCTGAACTCTGAAAATCTGAACTCAATGGGAGTTACTTCAGGCATGTATAGGATTGATCCGTGTTAGGGCCGGGCTATAGATGGGTTAGGAGCAGCCATGAAACAAGACAGTGGTCAGAACTGATGAGTAATCAGCACCAGAAAGCAAACCTGAAGGCAAGACCTGTAGAACAAGCCAGGAGTAACACCCTTTTAAAAAAGCAAGGCCAGAAACAAACTAAAGCCTTCCCTTTTTTTTTTTTGCGGGAAATTCCCTTATTCCTACGCCGTTTCCCGCTGCTTCCCACTGCTATCCAAGATTGTTAGATATCCCGTAGACTGTCCCTGGGACAGGTGAGGCTGCTGATCCCTTATTTTCGAGGCTGCTGATCCCTTATGTTCAAATCTGAAAGTTGACAGCTATGCACTAAAGCTCAGGTAGGTCTTCTCAATCAAACAAGGATCTGTGAAAAAGGAAGTCCTTTACTGTATACTCCTTTCTGTCAAGAAAGTTCCAGTTGTTCACCACAGGGGGCAGCGACACAGAGATGACAACAGCTTCTGATATACATTACTGGCAGTTGTACATAGCTCCATACATTTAAAGCACCTGACTTCCCCCAAAGAATCCTGTGAACTGTAGTTTATCTGTCATAGAGCTACAGTTCCCAGCTTTAACAAACTACAGTTCCCAGGATATTTGGGGGAGAGAGAAATGTGCTTTAAATGTGCTTTATAGTATGAATGCAAACACAAAAAATAGTAGCAGCACTAGAATGATGCTCTGATAGCAGAATACATAGTGAATGGCATTTTTAAAGGGAAAAGGCAGTAAAAATTAATACTGTTTGCCAAACTGAAAACTGGATTATAGAACATATATAAATAAATTGATAAAATTACTTTCCACAATACTAAAGTCTTAATCTGTAGTTCATATACACTGTACAGCGAACACCAACAGTTTGAACAATAGGTTTTCTTTTTGTTGTAGGAGACATAAATTCATAGGATAAAAGCAGAAAGAAGAGCAAATGTGAGCAGAGAGGGGGGGATTTCTTTATTTTTGGTTCAGAAACCTGGGTGATTGTTGTTTGTTTGTTTGTTATCGGACATCCTCAATGACCCTGGTAGAGATGTACTGTATTACAAAGTTGTCACTTTCCCACGTATTGCTTAAACTTCTCAAAGTCTGCTGTCTCTGGATGGGTAAGGGACATTAAGGAAATAAAATTGTCATATGGACTGTTCATTTAGCCAAGTCCTTTTTAATGGTTCCACTTGAGGGCAGAGTTTCACTGCCAGGCCTTGGCCTGTCCAGAATTCCACGCCTATCTGGAAGTTTCTTTTACCAAGTCAACATTTCAAATATAAGAAATTGCACAGGAAGTATAAACAGAGATGAAAATGATAGAAATAGGCAAAATCAAGCTGATGAACTCAGCAGATAAATCTGTTCACCCAAAACTGGAGATGAATTGCCATGTACCTCTGGTGGGTCCTATTTACTTAATTTCATTTTGTAAATAACCTTCCTACATTACTCTACCCAAAGTGGTTTGCACCCCATAAAAATGATATATTGTAGCAGTGTACTTTATACATACTAAGTTCATGAACAATTAGTAGTTTCCATAGTTCAATAAGTACAGTAAGCCCACAACTTGCGCTCACTTTACTTGCTCCATCACAACCTTATGTGGGCCGGTATGGAATAAATAAATAAATGGAGAGCCAGGGAAACCCACTGCTGTCTCTGCTCTCCATTTATTTATTTCCCCCCCACCTGTGCACCCAGCAGGTTTTCTTGCTGACTAAACTTTAAGGGGGTGGGGCTCTGACCGCATCCCTGAGCCCTTGGATGCTGCCTCCACAAAACCAGGTAAGTGAGACACGGGGCTTTGGGAAGGAGGCACAAGGGCTCTGGTGGCGTCCCAGAGCCCGCACGCCTCTATCCCAGACCCCAGTCTAGGGTTGCCAGATGTCTTCTTTTTCTAGGACGCATCCTCTTTTTCATGGGTATGTAAAATGAGAGTCTTCATAGTGATCCATAGTTAAAAGTAGAAGCCGGCAAATGTGTCCTCTTTTTTTGCTCTTCAAAATATGGCTACCCTAAAAACAGTCTTCCACCTCACAGGGAAATAGTTCCAGGAGGTTCTTGACTTTGCAGAATTTTGCCTTTGCATGCGGACCCCCAAAACCGAACCCTTGCACAAGTGGTGGGTCCACTATACCTTCAAATCTTACTAGGCTCTTCAACCTTGGGACCTCAAATGTGGCGGGGCTTCAATCAGTGGTGGAGCTTCATGCTCCGGCACCAGGGGGTGGAGAGCAGGTGGGGCGTGCATCCTGGGGGCATGTCCTGGGGGTGGGGCGTGCATCCTGGGGGGCACTGCCTGTGGGGTCGTGGCGCCCAGCATGGGCGGGGGGCAGCCACGATGGCACCCTGCCGGGATCACGCTGCCAGGGGCGGTGCACTCCCCCCGCTCTCCTCTTCCTCCGCCAGTGGCTCCAACGCTTATCTTCCCTGGTAATTTTATCCAATAACATCTGCAGACCCAAGAACATTGGTCTAGATACCTTTTGGTTCTTGCAGATTTACTATGTCAACTAGAGGCCAGTGCCAGGTGACTTCTTCTGGGCAGGCTGTAGTTTATATGCCACAGACTGCCCATTCCCTGCAACCAGCACCACTTGTGAAGACATCAAAAAGGGGCGGCAGAAAGGCTGTAAAATGCCGGAATGTTCATGGGGTTACCAAAGGTCCTGGAAGCATTCAGAGTCATGTCAGTCTACGAACAAAAGTTCTTATGATACTATGGGACCCCATGGATGTGTGGGAGTGTTGCGGAACACCTACTGTCCTCTGTGTGACTGAGCACACAAAAATGGGGAGAGTGTTTGTGTGCTAAGTGAGCAGTCCAAGCAATGTAGGCTGTAGCTTGGCAGAAATCCATAGGCATCAACATGTGCCGATGATAACAGCAGCATGCACTGCTGAGAGCCACAGGATTTTGCTGGCCCAGCAACTAAGACAAAACATGCGGCCAGGGGCAATGTCCTGTTCCTTTCCCCAGTTCCAAGTCTGGAGCTGGTAACAGTGGGAAGAGCTTTTGAGTTTGGTCCCGCTAAGGTACTTGGAGCTGCAGAGAAAGCAAAGACTGCCACGTGAAGATGGAGAAAGCTTGCTCCCTCCTGCTGTTGGGAAGTAGGTTGGGGCTTCTCAAGCTTGCCCAAGGGTGGGAACACCCATGGCATGAGAAGCATGGTGAACAAATATGAGAGGAAGTGCTTTGTGTCCATTCTGATGGAAAGTTACACTGTTGATGGAGAAATTATTGTTGTGAAGTTGCACCATATATGGCAGTGAACTGAAGGAGTATAGAATATGGTCTGCTTCCTCTCACAAACAGTCACACCATGTGTTGCCCATGGCACAACCATGACTCTTCCCATATGTATCTCTTCCCATATGACTCTTCCCAGTGTATCTGAGCAGTTCTGCTGGTGTATCTGTCATGGTGGCAGCATATCTGGCTTTCTCCTGGCACCACAGGGCTTTTGTTGAAACCTATGGCTCTACAGCTGGCTATAAGATTGTGTTTTAAATATGACTTATTACTTTAAATAATGACAGGTTTGCCATAGTAAATATTAATTCCCTTTTATCCTCAAACAACATATGGCAATGATCTACATTTATAAATGCATTAAATTAAATGAAGTTAAGTTGCCTCTAGCAGGCAAATGTAATTTATTTATTTTATTTCATGTAAGCAAATGTGTATACCACTTAATTGTAAATCCAACCTCTAAGCAGTTTATAAATAATATAAAATGAACATTAAAACTGTCAATAGAATCTGATGTTTTGAAAAATCAGAATAAAATCAACAGTTAAAATGACACTACAAGCTAAAATTACAGATTAAAAAACATGTCAGGTTTACACATCTGGTTAGGCATGCCTAAGCAAGAAAGTTTTTTGTAGGCATCAGAAAGAGCACAGAGAAAGAGTACAGTAATGTGGAGGAATTATTATTGTTACTTTTGCCTATACACTTTTGTGCAGAAAATTCAAAGTTGATATAATCAAATAAATGTTACTGAAATTTTTGTATTTTTATCTGAAAGGATGTGAACCAAGTAGTGCAAAGTTCCGTTTCCAGTTGCACCCATTTGTGATCTGCTTAGCAAAATGTAGACTTGAGTGAGGGAAGGAATTCATACATTTATATTAATCATATGTACATGGTGTATGTGTATATCACAGACAATCAGTGATGACTATTTAAGGTGGAAAAGTGAACATTTTTTTAAAGGTAAAATTAACTATTGTCAATAAGAACCTGTGATTGCCTGCTGTCTCCATATCTATTAGCCAGCGCATTTGTTAGTTACTGTAGAGGTGAAGGATACACTTTGAAGAAAGACTCACAAATTCTCAGACACTTCAATATTTCAATATGGCAACCAGCCAGCTACCATGTTTTTTAAAAAATACTGTTTTCCACCAGAGATTTGACAGGTGGCCTTTGCACATTTTACACATGAGTGAAAGCCATTGTTAGGCTGCTTAGGGTTTTGCCTTTTAAGTTGCTTTTTCCTAGAACCAGGCAAGAGATGTATTTGCTTAACACAGCTGATAAAATCTCCTCTGAATATGTTTGGATTTTATCTGTTCTCTGTATTACTATAATGGATTTTATGGCTGGCATCCAATTAAGGCATACTTAGATCCATTGAAACCAGTGGACTTAAGTTAGTAATGATTACCTTAAGTCCATTTGTTTGAATGGGTCTACTTGGAGTATAGTTTAGTCAGCTACCATCCTACATGTGCTCTCACTCTGCCATACTACACACATACATTTGACACAGATATGCTATGCTCTGGGAGGATTACAAAGCTGTATTCTTCCCCCACTCCCTGGCCAATGATCACCATACTTCATTGTCTCCCCTTAACACCTATTGGAGACCAAAAGTCAATGGTCGAGAACCCAGACTCAGCTACCCACAGCAACATTATGCATTGTGTTCAAGTTGCTCAGAGGCACTTTGTAAACCATATGAAAAAAAGATAGAGCATATATGTAAATAGGTCCCTAAGCCCTAGCTTGGAAAGCTGTGTTCTAGGCAGGTCAGCAGATGCAAGGGATATGTAGTTGGAAAAATTCACTACAGTAGAGGTCATTCATTCCTGACATTAGGCTCTATTTATTGAATAAATTTACTGCTCTTAACTAAATCATTGCAAATACATACTATGTAAATGGGGAATTGCAGTATTGGAAGACCACATTGGAATACACAGGAATTTGTATGATTTAAGCACATTTAAGTGCTAATAATCTCAGTGGGCTGCTAAACATATGCTTAACTTTCCTGTTGAAATCCATGGAACTTTAAGCTGGGTTGAATATAGAACTTCAGTTTCCTCTTTGTATGCAAAGCTGCTTTTAAGTGCAGAATCACATCTGGTGCTAAGTTAGTTGTTGATTATTGCACTTGCCATTCCTTTGCACCATTATTTGCAGCATAAATGATCAAAACTGCATTATGATTTAAAAAATAAAACTCAACAAATAAGAGAAGTCAGTCTGTCCCACTCCTCCCTTCTCCCCACATTTATATTTTAGAAAGAATTTTAATTAAGAAATGCACAGCAAGAGGCTTTGAAATGATCTTTTCTCCTATATCATCTTTAAACACCAGCAAGTACCGTATTTTTCGCTCTGTAACACGCACCCGACCATAACACGCACATAGTTTTTAGAGGAGGAAAATAAGAAAAATATTCTAAACGAAACAGTGGATGTATGATTTTTGTGGTTCATGCTGTGGCCACAGACATGTGATCTGATGGTGAGTTTGGGGTAGCCCAATGCAAAAATCCTGAGGATCCATGTGGATCCATGCTTTGTAACCACGTTTTTGCACCACTGTGGCCCCAGGCAACAGTGGGTACGTGATTTTTTTGGTGCAAGCTGTAGCCATGGACATGCTATGTGATCTGATGGTGAATTTGGGGTGACCCAGTGCAAAAATCCTGAGGATCCATGTGGATCCGTGCTTTGTAACCATGTTTTAAGTGGGGAGGGAAGGAAAAACACTCAAGGGACAAGGAGCACGTGTGGGGTGTGTGGAGAAGGATGCTGCTAATAATGCAGAAGAGGGGTATAAGAGGAGAAGGCTCCTCTCCTCTCCCGCTTTGCTCCTTTAAAGGCTCTGCTTCTCTCCCTCCTCCCCGGCTCGCTGAAAAACTTTGCTGCTATTTAGCCAGCTGAGTGGGGAGAGAGAGGGACAGAGAGCCTGCTTGCGAAAAACTTTGCTGCTATTTAGTGAGCTGTTCTCTCCCTCCTCCCCGGCTCGCTGAAAAAAACAGCTCTGGACTCGTGTAAACAGTTCCTCTCCTCTCCCGCTTTGCTCCTTTAAAGCAAGCAGGCTCTCTGTCCCTCTCTCCTCCCCACTCAGAGGCTCTTCTCCCACTTTGCTGTTTCAAAGTGAGCCACGGAGGAGGGAAGGAAGGGGGACCATGGATCCTCTGCTTACGAATGCAGCAGATCCCCCCGCCATCCGTAGGCATTCGCTCCATAACATGCACAGACATTTCCCCTTACTTTCTAGGAGGAAAAAAGTGAGTGTTATGGTGAGAAAAATACGGTAATTCAAAGCTTCCCTGCTCCTGCAAATCTGACCTTTTTTAAAGCTTGCAGCACAACAGGAGGCAATGTTTTGCTCAGATTTGGTGACTTGAACTAAAGAAGAGTAAACAATAAAACAATACCAAAATAGGAGCCAGGCGGGTAATTATACATCTAGAGAAGGGACTGCAAAACCAACAGGGATTTATAAAAACTCAAAAGATCAGCCAAAGTTCTCCCTCCTGTCAATTTCTCAAGAGTGAAATGATTAACATAGCTAATGTTAGCAATAACTTGCAAGTCACAAGCCCAGATCCAAACAGCTCTTATGCTTGAGGCTTTTAAAAATCTGACAATACTTTGCCAAATTGGACTTGTTAGTTTCATTTATCTTGAAGTCAATGAAAACATCAGTCTTATTCCGAAATGTGTTAGATGGTAAGAGACTTTAGGGTTGCCTCAATGCTAATTGTAAACCACCATAACCAGTATTTTTGTTACTCAGTTGGGTTTCTTAGCTCTACTAAGTAAAATGCCGGTTTATTATAGGCAAACATAGAATTCTGCTCCCCCACCGACATAGGACTGCTTTGAAACCAGTGGCTTCCCAAATGAAAACAAAAGTGGCTTCAATTGTGTGGGAGGTCCATACCATCTCAGCAATGAAGCATGGGAATCTATCCTGAGCTGACATTAAGATCACACTGATGAATATATATTAGCAAAGTTGATAACAATCCTGCATTTGAAAGGACAAATAAGTCTCCATAATTGTAATGTCTAAGGTTCATGATCTAATTTTAATATTACACAAACCCTACTGTTGGCAAAGCTCATAGCATTCCCATATTTGAAAAGACAAATAAAAGTCTTCAAAGTTGCAATTTTTAAGGTTCTTGGTCTATTTGAATATTTGATGATACACTCTACCGAAACAATTTGAGATTCTCCCTCCCTTTAAGGGATTGCCGTTAAGCGATCACGGCAGTGGGTCAAGTTAGTATGGCGCTGCAATGATATACATAGAGCATGACATCGTTCTAGTCTTATAGCAGCTGCTGTACACCAGATCCTTAAGATTTACTTAGCTAGTATAGCAGGTAATAGGATCAGGCCTGTAGAATGTACTAAGAAAACCATAGGGCTTGGGTTTGAATATGTCAGCTCTTTTGGCAAGTCAGTTGTTCTCATGATACCCAAGGGATACATAAATTTAGTGGAATCAGACTTGTAAGCTGTGGAGTGTCATTACTTGGCTGCTGTTTGGTACATTGGGGTCTATGAAATGCAAGCTGTTTACCCCACACATCCATGCAAGGTTCTCACATTGAGGAAAGCCCAGATCACGTTCAGTGCTGAAAATCTGGCCCAAGACTCTGCTTTGCATATGCTTGAGCACAGCAGAGCCAAGGCAGGGAGCCTGTTCTGGCATTCTCATCTGGCGGTCGCAGTGACCTCATATATCAATGATGTATTTTCTTTTGAGCACTCATATGCACTTAGTCAGCTTCACCGACCTGACTCAAATTGTTGGCTTGCTTTGCTATGGTTTGGCTCCACCTTCAAACTGTCTGGCTTGCTCAGTTCTAGAATCACTCTGGTTATAAAAGGGCTATGGTTTCTTAGCTGGACAACTACAATACATGTTGGAAGAAGCTGTGTTTCCCTTTAAATAAGCCACTGCTTGACAGAGTTTTTCTTCTGACAATCAGTATGTGAATTATTAAAAAACAAAAACAAAAAACAAATACACTGTAGATGGAGAGCCTGACTTGAAAAAAAGGATTGTAGAAATCATAGAACTGTAGAGTTGGAAGGAACCCTGCGGATTGCCTAGTCCAAACCCCTGCAATGCAGGAATATGCAACTGTCCCATCCAGGGATCAAACCTGCAACCTTGCATTATCAGCACCATGCTCTAACCATCTGAGCTATCTAGGCTTGGATAGTTTAAAGTACCCAAAGAGGCATCTACTCCAAACTTAGTCCCCAAATGCACGTATTTACCTACTTTCCAAGGCATATATTAAAACTAACTCTTCCTTAAATAGTGGAAGTTTAATACAGTGGTACCTTGGGTTACATACGCTTCAGGTTACAGACTCCGCTAACCCAGAAATAGTACCTCGGGTTAAGAACTTTGCTTCAGGATGAGAACAGAAATTGTGCAGCAGCAGCGGGAGGCCCCATTAGCTAAAGTGGTGCTTCAGGTTAAGAACAGTTTCAGGTTAAGAACGGACCTCTGGAACGAATTAAGTTCTTAACCCGAGGTACCACTGTAATAGGGAGGCAGAGGTCAGTTGACCTTCCACTTTCAGACATGTTGGAATGGTGAATGGATAAATGAGTGAATGTCGCTAATGATGAGTCAATGGTTGTTTCTCTTTACAAACATTACTGACATGAGCTATGTTGGAAGCTACATCATAAATGTATCGAAAGAGGGTTGCGGCAAGAATTACCTGCAGTTCAACAAGTAAATGATTGTGCTACATGTATTTTGCCCCTTCCAATTCTATATTGTCAAATATATATGACCAAAAAAACAACAACCACACACACAACCACTGCAAAAAACAACCACTGCAGTTCTTAAAAGAAAAAAAGAAATGTAGATTTACAGGCCAATCCTTCCCATACACCCCAGTAAGCTTCCCAGCTAACAACTGGAAGAAACCCCAATGCAACATTGTATGAACATAATATACTTTGTAGTGTACAATGCCAGCATAATTGTGTTGCTACAGCTACGTGTCACAATGAACAAAGTGGATGCAGAAATCAGGAGGGGAGGGGAACACCAACCAGACATCATTAGTTGAAAGGTTAAAACACCACGGGTGGCCTTCAACTAACTTGTATTCAGAGTAGACCTACTGAAATTAATGGATCTAACTTAATTATGCTCATTAATTTCAGTGTGTCTATTCTGAGTAAAGATTTAGTTGAGTGCTACTCCTTGCATCAACTAAGTGCGTATAAAATAAAGCTGTAACTCAAAACCCATCCATTATCCCCAATAAAAAGTCTCAAACATCAACCATTGATAATAACGCAAGAGCAGCTGCTGGATCAGACCATCTAGTCCTACATCCTGTTCTCACAGTGGCCAACCAGAAACTTATGGGAACCCTGCAGGGAGGACCAGAATACAACAGGAGTGTCCATACCTGTGATTCTCAGAAACTAGTATACAGAAGCATACAGTCTTTGATAGTGGAATTAGAGCACAGTCATCATAACTAGCAACCATTGGCAGTTGTATCCTCATGGTCTAATTTATATTTAAAACCATTGAAACTCGTGGCCACCAGTACATCTTGTGAGAACAAATTCAGCAGTTTTAACTATTTATATTATTTCTAGTTTTAACTATGTGCTTTGTCGAAAAGAAGTGTGTGGGGGGGGGAATAAACCAATTTAATATATTAAAATCAGTTTTAAGTTATCCATGTATATATGTCATAACATGCCCATGCAAACAATGTTGAAATGTGGTTGCTTAAGACTGAAATAGCTGACTGAGGATGGTTAAAAAGAATGGTATTATTCCCTAACCACAAGCTACATTTCTTGCTTTGTATGCAAAATTTCTACTGAGAAAAACAACAACCCAGAATTGGGCGATAGGATATGCTAGGCAAGTGTTGACAACTGGGAAAATAGAACAATCCAGGCTTTAGACCACCAGCATCTCTTTGATCATTGCTTAACTATGGTTGGATGCTGTAGCTAGAGGGGAAAGAGCCTTCTTTTAACTCCATGTTTAAATAAAACAAAGACGATTCTGTACTTTAATGTGCAAAAGATTGAGAATGGGGAAATGGGTTCAGAAACTATTTCTTGCACAGATCCAATTGGCCATGTTAATACATAGTTTTCAAAAACACAGGCTTTCAAAAACAGCTGGCAAAGAAACTAGCCAAGACTGTTTGTATGAAGAAAACAGACTGATTTGATATTATTATTATTATTATTATTATTATTATTATTATCTCCATTCATCTAATTATGCTCAAAGGACAGGTTCTAAAACAGATGAATAAAAATGTACACATTTTGCAGCTAGTGAATTTTTTTGAAAATGTTGTTTTATGAAGTATATGATTTTTAATGGAGTATCAGACATTATCACTCCAGTCTTATAGAACATGGGTACAAGGATGTGTTGAGTGATCCTGCCCCATAGCCTTCAAGCAAGGTGCTACATGTACCAATAAAGCCTTTTTATGTACAACTAAATACATAAAGTCATCACACAGACAGGAAAAGGTATAGAGATGTGGGTGAAATTGGTTCAGTTCATATTTTAATGCAAAGCTACCTAATTTGCACTTCTTGAAATGATACTTGAATTGAAGCTATCTTTGAAATTCACACTTTCGCAATGCAGTTCTCCAGCCCAAAATATTGTGTACGAAAAGGCATATTTTAGATAAAAGGCTGCATTAAAATACACATGATAGTGAAAACGGCAACCAAAAATGCATTCTAATTGCTTGCAAAAATGTGCATACTAGGCAAAAAAATTGCATGCAAATAATGGTGCGTATTAGGAAAAATGCACACTAAAATGCTAGTGAATTTTAACAAAGACGTAAAAAATAAATAAATCGCGAACTCCTCCAGCACAAGCAATCATGAGACATCAGAAGTAAAGGTGAGAGGTGACTTTCTTTGGTTGCTTGACTGGAAACAAGCTCCTTTCATCATTTCATTACCCATGCATGAATATATGGATCTTGTAATCACTTTTAACTCACTTAATATGTTTACCGGCACTTGCAAGTGTAACCTATGACCCCAAAAGTGGATGATGATGATCATTATTATTATCAAACCATCCTGATCCAACATCTCACCACACTCAATTTTTTTTGTGGGGCAGGAAGTAATAGTAATCATTGCCATAGCTAAATAAGAGATATACCAACCTTGAGGTGATTCAGTTTCGTTGGACATTGAGCTAAAAGTGTGGCAGTCGAGAAGGATGGCAGAAGACTTAATCCTGATCTCCCCTTTTCACACAGTCATTGGTCTGGAAAGGATGCTAATTCTAGCATTTTTATTTTTTTAAAAAAACCAACATAGGAGCATGTTACTATGCTTTGGTAAAAGCTGAAGCTTTGCTTTCTGTCTATGCCATAATTAGAGTCTTTCAAGCGTACTGGACACATGGTTTAGGCCACCAATGTGTTTCATCTGTATACTTGGGGCATCTTAGGCACAATAGACAGACACACTGTTATTGTGTGTAACCTCTCGCTACTATATTGCTGCTACAAGAAATGTATGACTTCAGGCAGGATGCAGCTAATCACAAATAAATGATGTTTTATTGCCTCCAGAAGGCCAACAGGCTATGCAGCTTCAAAGCCACCACAGCAAAACAGCTGGATCAGATGTTATCTTAATGATTGTGCATACAGCTGCAGCTGTGTGATTATAGCTGGAATTTTGATAAATGTGTACCTGTAGAATCTACATGTTCATACACAAACACACACACACAGTGGTACCTCATGTTACATACGCTTCAGGTTACATACACTTCAGGTTACAGACTCCACTAACCCAGAAATAGTACCTCGGGTTAAGAACTTTGCTTCAGGATGAGAACAGAAATCGTGCTCCGGTGGCACGGCGGCAGCAGGAGGCCCCATTAGCTAAAGTGGTGCTTCAGGTTAAGAACAGTTTCAGGTTAAGTACGGACCTCCGGAACGAATTAAGTACTTAACCCGAGGAACCACTCTCTCTATATATGCGCTGTAGGTCAACAACCAGCCTGGGGCAGGAATCCAAATGGATGTATATGACACAGGAATATATAAGCTGGTGGTCAGGTTAGGCCAGCAACCAAAGAAAGGAAGTAGTACAGTAATTGGTAGGAAACTGATGCCCAGTGTAGATAGACAACTGACCATGGGAAGTGACAGAGAGAGTGGCTGTTGGTAAGGAAGGGTTCATCCATACTGTTGTTTAATGTGAACAGTCTGCTTCCTATATATCAGTTTTGTGTTTTGTGCAAGTCGGAGTACAAGATATCTGTGGTCCATATTACATTCTGGTCCAACAGCATTAGGAGGACCACAGGTTTTGGCTGCCCTGCACCAGACCATAGCTTATTGAACTAAAAGACAGTACTGAACTCCCACAGATTTCAAAAGGAATTCACACTGTACTCCAAATCCATAATTATTATGATTTGTATACCATCCTTCATCCGAAGATCCCATGGCGCTTCACAACAGAAAAATACAAAATAAGAGTACAAAATACATAATAAAACAAAAACAAGCCAATAACCCTTCTTCCACAAACACATTTAAAAAATCATAGAAAGTTAATCAGCTGAACGCCTGGTTGAAGAGAAACGTTTTCACCTGGCACCTAAATATATGTAATGAAGCTGCCAGACAAGCATCCCTGGGGAGAGCATTCTACAAATGGGGAGCCACCACAGAAAAGGCCCATTCTCGTGTTGCCACCCTCCAGACCTCTTGTAGAGGAGGCACACCAAGAAGAGCCTCAGATTATGATTGCAGGTTCCAGGTCAGTTCATATGGGGAGAGGCGGGAATAGGGTGTTTCTCTGTGTCCACAACCATAGGCACTGCACACAAACACTATATATGCAGTGTACTAGCACTGGGTGCCCAAATGTGCAATTAGTAAAATAAATAAAATATATTAGCATCTGAAAGTTTTCTATTCCTACTTTAAGGTTTTCTTTTCAGACTTTCTGGCTAAATCTCAGTTTTCTGTCTAGTTGCTTAACTAGTGCCCAGATACACCTCTTTTGGTAAAGTTCCATGTGGCCCAATTTTGAACTATACATTTGCTAAAAGAGATTTTTGACATATTTCAGATGAATATTCTGTATGCCAATTCTTCAAAATAACTTTGTGTAAAACAATCCAACATTAATCTGGGCTCCCATATGGCCCTGATAAGGGAAGAATGCACATTTTGCTGAAGAAAAAGAAAATGTATTTTTGGCTAAGTAATATTAGAAAATAGTGGGTAAGTAATAAAACATGTTGTAAGCAAATAAGAAGGAAACTACTCATGCAACATACCTCAGCATCTTAACCTTCTTAGGGAACTTCTCAGGGCAGACATTAAGGCAGACATCTTATCAAATTGCATTTTACATAGCTATTTTTTACAACCATGTGAAACAGAATCTTAATACACCCACACCCAAAAAATGATGAATAACTGGACTCTGAAAAGAGGCTTCAGATAATCATACCATATTGCTTTGGAGGCTACAAGAGGTTTGTGAGGCATTGCCTACCCACATACCTCTGTAAGTACAGATTCCAATCTCAGGTGATTGTCACTATTTGGGGATGACAGAAATTGAATCTCAGAATCTGAACAAAATAGTTCATCTCCCCCCACCCCACTCCGTGGCAACTGCCTCCCCTTGAGTGTGTCATGTGCTACTTAACCATAAAGGTTTGCCAACTTGGTATGACAATTGTTTTTGAACTTGGAGATCTGGATTTGATCCCCATAGATCCTATCAACTACAGTGGTGCCCCGCAAGATGAATGCCTCGCAAGACGGAAAAACCGCTAGACGAAAGGGTTTTCCGTTTTGGAGTTGCTTCGCAGGACGAATTCCCCTATGGGCTTGCTTCGCAAGACGAAAATGTCTTGCGAGTCTTGAGATTTTTTTCGCTTTTCCCCTTTATCTAATCTGCTAAGCCTTTAATAGCCTTTAATAGCCTTTTAGCAGCTAATCCCCTAAGCCTTTAAGCCTTTAATAGCCGCTAAACCGCTAATAGCGCTAATAGCGCTAATCCGTCAATGGGCTTGCTTCGCAAGACGAAAAAACCGCTAGACGAAGACTCTCGCGGAACGGATTAATTTCGTCTTGCGAGGCACCACTGTAGCCTTGTAATCGGTAATTATTTATTTGGTTTCTATCCTGCCCTTTATTACAAGTGATCTCGAGGAGCAGGGGTCATATTGAAATAAAAATAATACAAAACAATACAGTAAAATCAATCAATAAAATATAATAAAGCCACCTCACGCCTGAGCAGTTTTATCAGAATAGCTTACAATCTGATTGGTTTACCTAGAATAACTTAATTATCTAAACACTGGTGAAAATCTAAACTTCTTTATGACTCAGTGTCCCTTTTATACTTTATTGCCTCCCACTCCCCATGGCCCAAGTTACTTACGCGTCTTCATACCTACTTACAGAATTTGCTTTTCCAAAAGTACCGTATTTTTCGCTCTATAAGACACACATCTTCCCCTCCAAAAATTAAGGGGAAATGTGTGTGCGTCTTATGGAGTGAATGCAGACTCCTTGGCTTCAGCGATAGCGACGCGAAGCCTCCAAAGCGCTCCCACCGCACTCCAGAGGCTTCGCGTTGCTTTCGCTGAAGCCTGGAGAGCGAGAGGGGTCGGTGCACACCAACCCCTCTCATTCTCCAGGCTTCAAAGATAGCCGCCTGAAGCCTGGCTTCAGCGAAAGGAACCTGAAGCCTCCGGAGCGCAGCAGGAACTCCTGCCGCGCTCTGGAGGCTTCGCGTTGCCTTCGCTGAAGCCTGAAGAGCGAGAGGAGTTGGTGCGCACCGACCCCTCTTGCTCTCCAGGCTTCAAAGGTAGCCTGGAAACCAAGGGTCTGGAAACCAAGCCTTATGAAGAACAGTTGAGGGAGTTGGGTATGTTTAGCCTGGAAAAGAGGAAATAGAGACGGGACATGGTAGGTCATCTCCAAATATCTCAAGGACTGTCACATGGAAGATGGAGCCAGCTTGTTTTCTCCTGCTCCAGAGACTAGGACTCAAACCAATGGCTTCAAGTTCCAAGAAAAGAGATTCCAACCAAACATCTGGAATAACTTTTGACAGTAAGAGCTGTACAAAAGTGGAACAGTCTCCTTGAGGAGGTGGTAGAATCTCCTTCCTTGGAGGTTTTTAAGCAGAGTTTGGATGACCATCTGCTATATAAGCTTTAGTTGAGATTCCTGCATGGAAAGAGGTTTGACTAGATGACCCTCAGTGTCCCTTTCCAACTCTACAATTCTGTGTTTCTATGATTTAGCACTCATAAGCACTCTGGTACAACTCATCTCAAAGTCCTAGCGCATTGAATTAAAAATAACATGCTGCCTTAGTGTGACCTACCTGCTTAAACGATTAATTCATTTACTTTCAGATTAATATCTCGTGAAAAATTAGCAAGGAAAGAGGTTTGAAGAAGGAGGGGAGAGAAAGGGGTTACAGAGAAGAGCTACAAGTTAACAACCAATTTCTTTGCAATGGGAGGATGTAAAATCCAAAGGCAGAGATAATATTACCTCCCCAGGGCATTAGACGCTTGGTGGTTTAGAGCACATGCCTTTGATAATCAGCATCAGTATCTCTTTCATGTCACTGAACAGAAAGTGGGCCTCTTCAAAGAGCCTAATTCAGAAAAGGAATTGTTAAACAGGCCTGACTGGGTTGAGCAGTGCTGGAAATGAAGAACCCTGAAGGGCAGGATTAGATAGGAGGTCAGCACTCTCAGGCCACGCAAAGGAATAAATTAATAGGCGTCTGTGTTGCGTCTGAGGTTTTGGGAGGTTGTCATAAAATACTCACAGAATTTCTCTCTCCCCTCCCCCTCCCTCGACCTCTCTCCTTGCCTTCCTCTCTCTTCATGTGTTTTCATAATTATTAAGAATTGTACCTTCTTGTCAGAAAATGCAATGAATTAGTTGGTGGCCAGGAGCTTATTGGCCTTAGCCTTTGAAGTGTTGCTACACAGCTTCAGTTGTATAACGTTATTGATTTTTCTTTAATCTGAACTTTTTCCTAATGTTAATCCTCCAAAAGATATTTGTCCTTTATGTAAGACACTAGGCCATTTCAAAGAAGGGCAATATTTAGTCTGACATTATCGGACAGAAGTGATGGCACTAGATGGAGAATATAATAAGAACCCCCCTCACCTGCTGTTACTCCCACACCCACTGGCAGAGGCGCCATTGCACCCAAGATTGAGAGGGCTCAGCGCACATTGCACGCGTGACACATTGTCTGGAGGAGCCAGCCGCTGAAGCTGCGATGTGCAATGTGCAACGCCCGTAACAGCACATGTCAGGCCCCCTCAACACTGAGGGGGCCAGACCCATTTCCAACAAATACTGAGGGGGCCAAAGACACCTTGGCTCCCTAGAGTTGCTGCACCTGCCCACTGACAACTAATATTCTGCAGCGAACTACTTATAGGGCATGGAAATTTCACAGGTGTAATAATCCTAAATACCAGCTGGGGAACTGTGGGGCAGAATAGAGCTACAGAACCAGAACTGCCTCCCAAGCCCCAGGGCTTGTGTTGCTAAGGGAGGAAATGGGGGCGGGGAGACTTTTTTTTGTTCCAACAACTCAAGGCTGGCACATTCCCCAGAGCCCAAGGATTGGGTCTCTTAAGAGAATCCACACTTTGGATCCAGCAGGTCCCTAGCCTCAAACACCCCATTTCAGGGCTTTCTTGCAGGCTATTACTATGCCTTAGAACTGCACTACATACCTAATACCTCAGGATAAATACGCTTCGGGATGAATATTTTTGGGTTGTGCTCCGCGGGTTTCGCCGCGCACACATGCGCAGACACTCAAAATGATGTCACGCGCATGCGCAGAAGCGCCGAAACACGATCCATGCACGCGCAGACGCACAGACACGGGTTACGTTCACTTCGGGATGCGAACGGGGCTCTGGAAAGGATCCCGTTCGCATCCCAAGGTACCACTGTATTAGTCATCATGTTTAATAGCTACTGATATACCTATCCTCAATTTCAGTAATTCCCTTCTAAGCTATCTAAGTTAGCAACTATAATTTCAATGCTGTTATAGAAATAAATAAACCTTTGGTAGGTCCAAAGGCAAGTTAGAAACAAACATTCCTTCAGATGAATTTAGAGGCAGAGGGATTAATAGAAATTTGGTGCATGTTACAACCTATTGAGAAGTTTTGCATATTTTATTTATATTTACAAAATTACAGTGGTACCTCAGGTTATATGCCTGTTGCCTTTGTCCATGGAGTTTTCTTGGCAGGGATACTGGAGTGGCTTGCCGGTTCCTCCTCCAGGTGGATCACGTTTGGTCAAAACTCTCCACTATGACCTGTCCATCTTGGGTGCCCTGCTCGGCACGACTAAACAACAACAACCTTGGGTTAAGTACTTAATTTGTTCCGGAGATCTGTTCTTAACCTGAAACTGTTCTTAACCTGAAGCACCACTTTAGCTAATGGGGCCTCCTGCTGCTGCCGCGCCACCACCGGAGCATGATTTTTGTTCTCATCCTGAAGCAAAGTTCTTAACCTGAGGTACTATTTCTGGGTTAGCAGAGTCTGTAACCTGAAGCGTATGTAACCCGAGGTACCACTGTACTAGGCTAGAATAGATTACTTTTTACTGCAATTGAGAAAGAGACTTGTGCACTGCTAATGATTTCCTTCTGATCATGCCTCTGTGGGAGTAGTTCCTACATTAGGAAATAAATATAAATCTAGTATCTGAAGTGTGGATACTATGTTGTTGGGAGGAAGGCATGTTGTGGCTAAGAGAGATTATGAAGTTACGTTATTGAGATGTAACATAACTGAGAATATGAGTCACAATACGCACTGGGAACTGGGAAATATTGCAGACCATAGTGAGCGGGAAATTTATTTCTGTAAAAGCTCATAAGAAAATGCTTACAGGAGATTATAATTTTCAAAAGGGTATTAATTTATGACAAATGGAGGAAATTAGTGTGTTGTAGGAAACAATAGAGCATGTTGTGCAAGTTATTCCAGCTCTTAATATTGACATTTAATAGTTCATTAAAAATGGAAAAGAATATTGTGATTTGGGATACTGGGAGAAAAGTTATGGGTAAACAACAAAGGAATTGAGCAGCCGGTCTGCTGTGGGAAATTCAGGGATTTCTATATCCAGAAGAAATCACTTATTTGAACTGAGTATAATTTAAGGATTTTGTGGGTCAGCCTATAAAATAGTTAAATCTTCTCAAACCATTTAACTCCAACAAGAAAGATGCAAAATGAGAGCAGTTGCTTATCCTCACTTAAAAAAATATATTCCTCAGGTGCTGCTTAAACATGTTTTTAAAAATTCCTACACAGAGGGCAATTGCATATAGCCAAAAAGTGCTTCACACATGTTCAGAATCTTATAACGATGACTGCATACATGGGCTTTTTCTTCGGGGGATACATCCTCTGAGAAGTGATCACTGGCCACAGCTTTCTCGGCATATGTACAGTGACTGGAAATATCACCACAACCCCAGACATGGGACTGGCAGACATGCTAACTACACATGGGCTGCATCCTGCATATCAATCAATCATCTTATTTGTGTGCCACCTTTCCAAAGTTAAAACCATGCTGAAGGTGCCATACAACATGAAAAATACATAATTACAAACATAATAAAAGTAGTCATAAACAATAAATAAAACATCAAAAAGTACACAACCAAACAGAACCATTGCCACATAAATCATAAAATATAAAATAAAGATACAAAAAATTAATATAAATAACAACCCCCCCCCCAACAAACCCCATAAACAATACCCCAAGCCCTAAGGTCTTTTCAGCAGCCTCAGCTTTTTGTAGCAAGAGTCACTCAGGGCTCCACCCTCCTAGGCCCACATCCCTCAAGTGTCCTGAAAACCAGGAACATCCCTTTATTTTGTATGTGAGTACAGTGCCCATTTGACATTGATCCTGAGCTGCAATCTTGACCTGATTTTTTTTTTCAGAGACACGATCTCACACGGGTCATGTGACATGGAAGATGCATCCCCAGGTTTTTCACCTCAGTGGGTTTGAGGATACGCAGGCCAGGTGGGGAAAGGCCTGCAAGGCAGGGAGCAGTTCCAGGACTCACAGCCAAGATGGTTTGTGGAAATGCCTTCTTTGCTATATTGCACTGTGCAAAGTGAGCTCAAGAAAATATTTAGAATCTGGGGACTATTCTCAGAACTTTTGCAGCTGAATGGAACAATGGGAGGTGGTGTCCAAGAAAAAGCAAAAGCTTGTAAGATACTGAATGGGCCTAACTACCTCAGAAGACATTGTTGGCTCTCCTATCTATGTGCTTGTTCTCCCTGGCTTATCCTCCAAATATCCTGGATCTGTGTTTAGTGTGGGTATTCTGCACAGAAAGAGTGTGATTCATATAGGGCCCTCTATCCAGATCTGTCCTGACTTTACAATGTTGTTTAGCAACCCTGGTGCACTGCAAGCAGTGATGTTTTGCAAGCATAATTTGGTTCCTAAGCCTTATTATTCTTTACATGTCATTGCCTTTACAAGAAGGATGAGCTGCAGCTCAAGGGGTGCTGGCCTTGTAATGCACTGGGAATATTAATATTTTCCAGATTTAAACTGATTCATCTGTGGAACTTCTTGTCTGGAAATTAATTTTTCATGTGTATATTGTGAGTTCCTAATTTTGTTTAATTTAAAACTCTTTATTGCCATCTGTTCCAAGTGGGCTGTTTCTTGGCATTTCTCATCAGAGCTGTTGCGTGCAGATTAGTCCTTGAAGTCTGTGGCACCATCCTTACCAAATGAAAGGGAGGAATTTCACCCCCTAGACAGAGGGTTCTTTTTCTACAGCAAGAAAAGCAAAACTTTGGCAAGCAGCAACTTAAAAGGAAGAGACTTTTATGTTGTTGTTAGGTTTTTTGTTTTGTTTTGAGGGGAGGGGAAAGGATACTCAGCTGAATTACAGGGTGTTGTGTGTTATTTTCAGTGCATCTTCTCACAACTTTATTTAGTTCAGTGACTCATGTTTCCTTACCAAGGTTAACCAGTGTGGGGAGAGGTATGTGTGTTATCTTAGCTTTTCCTCTACACCTTCCCGTCCTTACACAAAGTATCAGATAGGTACTGAGATACATCCACTGGCTTTCCTTGTTATCATCAGTGTCCTGGTTTACAATTCTGCTGTCATGATTTACTATTAATTTTGATTAAACCTTGACACTTTTCAGTTACCTATACAACTCATATCTTCACAGCTTTGCATCTCTCTCTCTCTCTCTCTCTCTCTCTCTCTCTCTCTCTCTCCCCCTCTCTCCATCCCCTTTCTCCTCATGTACCTTTTTAGTCCTCATCTTTGCATGTTTCCCATTCCTTAAAACTGGCTATGTCCTTTTGCATTTGTTAATAGCCATTCACGCCTGCTTCTTGGGAGAAAAACAATGACAAACCTAGACAGCATCTTAAAAAGCAGAGACATCACCTTGCTGACAAAGGTCTGTATAGTTAAAGCTATGGTTTTCCCAGTAGTGATGTATGGAAGTGAGAGCTGGACCATAAAGAAGGCTGATCGCTGAAGAATTGATGCTTTTGAATTATGGTGCTGGAGGAGACTCTTGAGAGTCCCATGGACTGCAAGAAGATCAAACCTATCCATTCTTAAGGAAATCAGCCCTGAGTGCTCACTGGAAGGACAGATCCTGAAGCTGAGGCTCCAATACTTTGGCCACCTCATGAGAAGAGAAGACTCCCTGGAAAAGACCCTGATGTTGGGAAAGATTGAGGGCACAAGGAGAAGGGGATGACAGAGGACAAGATAGTTGGATAGTGTTCTTGAAGCTACCAGCATGAGTTTGACCAAACTGCGGGAGGCAGTGGAAGACAGGAGTGCCTAGCATGCTCTGGTCCATGGGGTCACAAAGAGTCGGACATGACTAAACGACTAAACAACAACAACAACATAGCAAGAATATTTTCCAGTATCTATCCCTTTGGTTTCCCTATATATATATACTGGTTTCTGTTTTAAATTCTTTCTTAATACCTATCTCTAATGTCTAGCTTTGCTTTATCAGTCACTGGCAAATCACACACACTGTGTCTAGAAGCGAAAACACTTTTGTTTACTCTGTATCCAGTGTGGTCCTACCACTGGTTTGGGAAGCAGTGAACACATGATGTTAGCCATCCATACTTATCCTGTACCTATCCTGGGTTTTTAAAATATGAAATACTGTATTTTGGTGCATCTTTTTCCTAAACCACCTTAGATCTGAGTTGAGAATAAGAACGGCTGCCTCTCTCTCTTGCCTCTAGCCTCTTCCTGAAGGAAGCCCTCCTGGGAAGCCCTTGCTTTGATCTCTTCTCTCTCTCCAGCCTTCCCTCTAGGGAGGACAGGTGATAAAGCAGAATGAGAAATGCTTCCGTTATGACAAATTGTTGAGGCAAAAAAATAAATTGCTGTGCTCAAAGCAACAGGCAATTGAGACATGGATTGTCACACATGGTGTTTGTGCATAGTATATTGCACGTGCACTTTGGAAAATTTATAGCTGTCGGAGGCTTTCCACTCTTAGTGGCATCTAGTGACATATAAACACTACCATTCTCTGTATTCTTACATGAGATCTTTTTTTAAAAAAATAAATAAAAATTGAATGCTCAAATGTAAAATTAGGTGGGCAATTGGACCAGAAGATACAATTCAAAATTTTAAGACGATACAATTCCACCATGAAGTTATTGAGACTTTAGCTTTTTGCTTAAATCCCATTTATTTCAAGAAATTGTCCAGGTGTGCATAACTCTACATTGAGCTGATTCATATTTTGTAAGTTGTACTGTGACATTGCTATTTATTCCATTTTCTTACAGCTTTTTCGTTTTTAAAGAGCTTTTGCATCTTATTTATGTTGTTGGGTGAAGCTTGCCCTAACAGCATTTTGGTTGATGGAAGTCTCGAAACCAAATACTTGTCAGTTGCTGTTTATGATGGCATTGCCAGAGTTGAGCCGTGCAGGATGCTGCTGCTTCCCTTCTTGCATGCTTAATATGGCACCGTTAGCGCATCAGCATCTTCTTCTTTTTAGATGAGCCTCTGATATGTTTTACCTCATATGTTTTTACGAAGATGTTGTATTATGATATTTTTCTGTTGCTTATTTTGTGGTTAGATCTGTTTTTCCATTTTGTTGTGAGTTATATATATATATATATACATATTATGAACTGCCTTGAGCTTGATTTCATCATAGAACAGTGGGATAGTAACATCCAAGTAAATAAACAAGCTCGGCACAACAGCTTTCAAGGATAAGTGAGATGTTGAGTGAGAATAATTGAGAAATTCATTAGTTTCATGTCCAGTCACAACATACCCGGCTGATGCAATCAGATCAAAATTCTAGGGCTACTATAAAAAAGTTACAATATATTAGGAAATTATTACTGTTTAAAGTAAAAAGAACTTTTTCAAAAAAGGGAATAGTTTTGTGATATATGTATCTGAACAACTTGATTTTAACATGAATGAACTCTTTCTTTGAGACTAAAAGGCTGTGCCTTTAATGTTTTCCATAAAGATTGCTATTTCTTGTTTTTATCACTTGCTGGCATGCCATAAAGGCATTTTAGCACCTCTTGCTTTAGATTAATGCAGAAGATTACTTTAAACAACAGCTGATTTTAATTATGTTAATATCAACTCACCCTCTTCTTTTATAAATAACATTTTAAAACACATTTGTATTATTTTCAGCTCAGTATTTTCCAAACAATTAAGCTCATCAGAGGCAGAATAGACAGAAAATACCGTAGTTTGCTTTGTTTACTTGATGATTTTCACCTATGAGTGGTATCTGGCTAAGTCAGACCCATGCACGTCCAAGCAAGACCACAAAGCTGTATGGGATCCAAAAGGCCATGCAGTCCAACTCCACATGGAGAGGCAGGAGAGCTATCTACCAGGATACAACTGATAAAACAAACTATTATCAGATAATATTAGATAATGTATTTTTATGTTGTAAACTGACCTGAGATCTATGGATGAAAGACGGTATATTAATTTAATGATTGCTTACCCATTTCTAAGGGACGTGGGTGGTGCTGTGGTCTAAACCACAGAGCCTAGGGCTTGCCGATCAGAAGGTTGGCAGTTCGAATCCCCGCAACGGGGTGAGCTCCCGTTGTTCGGTCCCTGCTCCTACCAACCTAGCAGTTCGAAAGCACGTCAAAGTGCAAGTAAATAAATAGGTACCGCTCCAGCGGAAGGTAAATGGCATTTCCGAGCGCTGCTCTGGTTTCGCCAGAAGCGGCTTAGTCATGCTGGCCACATGACCCAGAAAAACTGTCTGTGGACAAACGCCGGCTCCCTCGGCCAGTAAAGCAAGATGAGTGCAGAACTCCAGAGTTGTCCGCGACAGGACCTAATGGTCAGGAGTCCCTTTTCCTTTTACCCATTTCTGGTTGGTAGGCAGTTATGGTCCCTCACTGGTCAGCCACCATCTCTGGCAGACAGGATTTCAACGGGCAGGACTTCCGCCCAGACTGCAAAATTTAAATGGGCCAAACAGAGGCCCACTAGTGTGTGGAAGCATCCCTGGCAGACTGTGAGCCGGATGACTCCACTCCAGTCTGCCAGTGATGCTTAAAAGCCATCTGCACCAGGTAGTATTTAATAAATAATAATAATAAGGATACTTTTCAACCGCGTGATAATACAATTCTACTACTATCCCCCATTTCTTGCAGTTTAGTATCTTAAATAAGAGTCAGACCACTGGTCCATCTAGCTTAGGGGATTTTTTTTCATCTCTAACCCTGGTCTATACAGCCTGGTAGCAGCTGTCCACACATGAATATTCCTGAGCGCTGCCTAAAGATACCAGAGATTGTATGCAAAGCATGTATGCTATCACTAAGCTATGTCTCTTCCCCCACGGATATGATCTAACACTGTTCTCACTATCAAGAGTTGTTTAGGGAAAGTGGTTGATTGATGGCACCACCAACTGTATCCAGGAAGCCTATTTTATTCAACTTCCATTCCCAGAAAACCAGACTATCTGTGATCTAAGATCAGCTCATTCATCAGATCATAAGTTGCTTGTCAGGTTCACATTTATAACCAACTACTAGTAACTCTATTAGGATGGAGGCTTTGCTCAGCACCAACCAAGACTTTCAGTGCTTTCAGCCAATTTATGGAT